GCCGTTACCTATCAGCATGGTTCTTTTGGCAATGGTGCTAGCTAGAATTTGTCCATTTTTCGGTCTTATTCCGTATCGCAAAGTTGAATCAGGGCTAAAAAAAAGTTTGGATTGGCTTTGAGCACCCATAAGAGCCACCTATACCTTAGAATTATCGTTACAACATCATGTACCTGATAAATAATATAATCTTCAGCTGTACATATATCTGCTTCCGTGGCATTTTTATTTCGGCTGCAACACCGTCGTGCTTGTGGGGACACTGTTGATCACTGCCAAAATGCGAAGGTCGTTCGTTTTACGTCACGAACCGGGACTATCCTCTCTATGGTTTTTGCTGAACTTCACCATCTGCCACCGTATATCATCATCATCACCATATGCATCATAGCCATGGTCGTCGTCGTCGCCGTCACTGGCAGATCCTAATAATGGGGTCATCGACGCTACTATACGTTTTTATTGCATTTTCTTCGCAAGCAATCTGTTCTCTTTGTTGTTTCTAAAGTGTACATATGATACCTCCTCCGGTGAGGTTTCTTCAAATTAGACCCAAGCACCAAAGCTCGAGATTGAACTCACGTCAGACAGCTGAATATCTTTCTGTTTAGACCCTTGCCTCATTTAATGATTTCTGTTTCGTGGGTTTATGTCCTGTTTATGAACACCGATAATGTTTATGTCCATACCATGCAAACTGTTCACCAATTCAGATGAATCCTGCTGGTCGCTGATTCCATTTCAGCGTCGTCAATTGTCGTTGATGTGTTGACTTTATTGTCGACCGCGACAACGACTCGCTACTAAAACCGAGAAAATAATGAGGTCACGCGTTCCTTTCATCACTCAGCATAAATACATCATAGAATCTACCATTCGGTCACTTGTGTGATAGTTGCGTTTGCCACGCATCTATCATATCTCGACAAGCTCAACCCTAGCTGCTGATGCGGGAAACGAATGGGTTTTTTAAGTTTCTTGTTGATTTGCGTTGACGGGTATGTATCAACGGCGTGTCACTTATTTCGAGCTATAATTGGTAGCTTGATATACGTTCCGGCAGATTTTTTTTACGGAACCGCTATAGAACGCAAGGAATAGCTAGCGAAGTCGACGGTGAACTGAAGTTGAAGATGTGTGTTATAGATGGTGATAATAGATAAATAAACAACGCAACTAAATAATCATTCGACTCTAGAAGCAAACGGTTCTTCTGATTAACGCACGTTCCATGTTTATACGTTTCTTCTAAAATAAAGGGCGGATTTTTTCGATAAAAATGAATCTAGCCTGTCTCAGTAACAATAATGGGCATAATTGTTACTGTAGCAGCATACAATATGCCTAATAAACTTTAATCAGGACTGAATGAACTGCTATCGCTATTGTACATCTGTTCGAAGATCTAAAGTTCACCCACGATATCTTTCCACCCCTGTGACTCCTACATTCAGGTAACCTTGTAGATATGTGGCACCAGGTTTATGCATCTCCAGTGCAACCAATGCGTGCGATCACATCGTGGACCGTGCATCATCTAGCCTCCATACTATGCATATATCGTAACCCTGCTCCAGACTACAATACCGGCTGTGCAGAAGAAGTAAACTAGTCAATCCGAGATAATAAGAAATTTCCGAAATGGCTGTACCAGTTGCCAGCTAGAGCTGTTGTCGCCGATGGCTGGTGGAACTTCGAAAACTTCATGACAACTTCCGCCCGAATTGACTAGCGTCTCGTGAGCTGACACCGCTGCCATAACCGCTCTAGATAGTGGCCGCAGCGCTGGCCATGGTGCATGGATGACTCAGGACCAACGTCGCCACCGTGGATGAATCTTACGGCGACGGCCGTAAACGCGGACAAATCGGCCAACAACTAACGACGGCTTTTCACTTGTTTCTGTCTGTTGTCGCCATGAAAAGTTGAGACTGACAACTCGACTTCAGCTATCGATCGTGACTGATAACAATCAAACAACAACAACAACAACGGCAGAAGTGAGTGCGAGCGTCTCATACAAATAGTCCGTCCATCTGTGCGTATGCCAGTCCTGCCGACGCGTCGCAGTCAGCGGCGGCGTCGATGGGGTAGAGGAAAAAGATAGATAAAAACACGCTAACGGCAAAGGGAACATAAGGATAAGTAGATAAGCACAGAGAAGGAAAAAGAGCACCAGAAAAAAAAAGCGACGGCTGAGAAGCGAATCAGAAAGAGAAAATCTTGCGATAAAGGCAGGCGGCCACAACAGAGAACGAATCACGAAGAAAAGGCAAACAAATCGGCATTCCGCGTGTCTGTGTGTATATGTATATATGCCTGTGAATATGTACATAAACATAGTAAGAAAATGATAAAACGGGTATAGAAGAGATGATAAACGCTGTCATAAAACCAATTCAGTTTATATAGCAGCAGTAACAAGGAAGGTGACGATGATGGACTTAGCGAGGTCTGGTCTACCCCTTGATGTGGTAGTGGTTTTTAGTGCTCAGTACTACTATACAGACCGCTTTGAAGCTGCTGTTAACTGAAGCTGATAGCATTTGCTTTGTACGAAGCTAAGTTTAAAAGTTAAGTCTACACACTGTATAGGGTAACAACGCTGAGATCTAGAATCCACAGGGAATAGATAGCTAAATAAAATTAAAGACAATACGAGCGCAGATGTTCTGTTTGTTTGAAAATTCGATCGGTATAAGAGAGAAACGCCCAAGCTTCAAATAAAGATTAAAACTCATATATATATATATATATATATATATGCCTGTGATTGTTAGTTCCTTTCGATTTCCAAGTACATACTGAATACATAATGATCATTACGATTACTTGTAAAATTAGTTTGTTTTCAAGCGTATATGTATATTTGCACGAGAGTTTGAGTTACTTTATTATATCATTGTATCGTGGAACCCCTTAGTAGAACCCCTTAGAATAGTAAAGATTAGTTCCCAGCCCAACAAAGACATTACATCAAGCGACGCTCGGTACTGACTGATGACCGTACGAATTGGGCGTCTTGAAGTATGGTGGTATATCACATAGTTCGTTCATTCATCGACTTTATTCCACTACCTCGTTCAAAAGTGGTAATCTTCAATAAAATTATGTTTTTTTTGCTTCCCTTTTTTTTATATTGAATCCGTGCTGGTAGCTGGTGCGACCGGCTGGCAGAAATAGCTACTGAGATATTACTGGGAATCCACGAAAAAGATAAAAACTCAATACTGGATTACAACACGGCGTATAGTTATTTATCGTTGTGGCAACTTGTGATAATTGGGGTCCAATCTTGTTAAACACATTCTTATTTTCACAGTTACAAGAATATCACATTGTGTTTTGACACCATGGATGGCCATGATTAACGGGGACGTGCAAGTCAAGCGCTGGCTTGTTGAAAAGCCGACGCGGCAGGAGAATTAATGAATTTAATCGGACCACATCACGAGACATCGTGAAAACAGGGCAGACAGATAAGGAGTCGAGTCCTGCAGTTCCCTCTAACCACACCTTTTTTGCTTTTCTTGTGTTCATCGGCACACAAAAAGCTTTGACGTCATAATCGTGTGAATGACCCCTGTTGCCATTGGAAGCCGCTTACCTGTTTAGTGTCTCGGCGTCCGTTCGCAAAAGTTCCATTGTAGTTAGAGTTAACGACATGTTTAATGAGAGAAGTTACACGTATGACGGTGGAATCGAGGTCCGCTTTGTAAGGACGAAATCCGAACACGTGAAGGAAAAACTTATAGCACCAGTGTATCCGACTACAGAATCGCTCGCTGCGACTCTTTAAAGAGGGTTCTATGATATATCATAATTATAGTTTAGAGCGGAAAAACATTTTGAGTCAGTAGAATAAAGCGTGAATGGTGTGCCCGTAAAGACTCAGATATTTACCTACGAATAAAGGACAGCCACATATCGGACGAGTCTAACTAGTCGATGGTTGCAGGCTCGTTGGCCGACGATGACGACAATGTCGGATGAACGCAGAGGGAGAAGTAGTTCCTAGTTGCTCGTAGTGTGAAGACCACACGCAAGCATCAGCTCCACTGACGTAGAGACTTTTTTATCCGTCAATAGTAAAGTTTCAATGTTTTTATTTGTTGATTATTTTTCATTCTGCAAAGTATTTATTTAGCGGTTATTTGAAGTGTTACGGCACTTCGACCAAGTGCCCGGAACTGTGTACAGCCACATATATAACGCTTCATTTCCTTATAAGCAGCAATGATAGAATAATGAAGATAGAAGTCTTATGCAAAATGTAAGCTTACTTGACCAATTCAGCTTTTTGTTATGCTATAGCATAGCTAAGTAAACATTATATTTATGCTGATTGTTGTTGGTAGAAATAAATCCGCTTAGCACTTTAGGGCTTCCATGAAAGCCTATCGGCTCTTCCATAGGGACTCTAATGAGGTATTCATCACACGGCATTTGGAGAAGTACCACTTGTATTAGAAACGCGTACGCCAAAATGATCTCAAGTCCATCCACGTAACAAGTGTTCTGCTGCTTCCTAGACTGTTTTAATGACCGGTAATAGCGGGCACGTTATTCTGACGCCCTCAGCTGGCGTTCATAGCGGAGAGAAAGTACTTGTTGCTATTTTTTCGTACATGATTTTCTTTCGTACATTGATAGGTATTCTCAGTTACGATGCATAATAGTGTACTTTTTGTTTTTGCCTGTAGTAGTTAAGTCAGTCGTATCTACTGAAGCAGAACTGATGGCTCCGAAACGCATAGATGGACTAAACTTTGCCTCTATGCGAAGTTAAAACGAGCGATTAATGTCAAATGGCTTTTGTCTATCATCGTTCTCTGTTACGTTTGATACAGCTGTAATTTTTTAAGAGGCTAAAACCGCCTGGACTGTAGTACCTTTCCAGTAGCTTTTCCTTGTCGTGCAGCTGTGGAACTATCGATTTTTTTTCCTTAGCTTGCTATTCAATCTAAATGTTTTCCGTTATTTGTCTATGGGTCTTTCAGGTGGATGATGGAACCGTCTGAAGGGACCATTGAAGGGCCCCACGGTTCCAGCGGTGGTGATCCTTCTGGTCAACGGATCCCGGCAGATTCGCAAAATCTTGGACAACTCGCGGCTTTTCAGGAGAAAGTGCGTCTTGCAGCCAACGCTTGCGCACAGGCGGATTTTCCCCTGGCTGTCAAACTCTATGGGGAGGCTCTACAGATTGACCCGAGGTACTTCAAATGAAAAGATTCCGCAAGCCTTGATCTATATCCGCATTTCCTGAATTTATCCTGAAAATATAAAATATGAAAAATTAAGCAGGTTGAGAAACCAGCTTGGTCTTATTTTAAGCTTAGTCTATATAGCCCTCATAAAATTACAGGCGTCCTTAATAAAAAGCTCTGTTTCAAGTATAGATGATAAACCCTAGCAATAATACCTCTAACTCCGATAAATCGAACTCTTTAATCAACGAACGAATTGAGCTTAACAACGGTTGAATTCATTTATAGGAATCATGTGTTATATAGCAATCGGTCTGCAGCCTACATTAAGCTGGGCCGATATCAGCGCGCACTGGCTGATGCGGTACGAGCTCGTGAGCTCAGTTCTACATGGCCAAAGGCCTATTACCGGGAAGGCGTGGCCCTTCAACATCTCAATCGACACTCCGAAGCCTTAGCTGCATTTGCTTCCGGACTCAGCCAGGTACTGTCATACTAGCATAGACACTAGTGCTACATACGTTACGTATAGTTATCATTGAACTTGCTTAAGGCAAGTGGGCGTAGACGCTTGGGCAATTTCTGTTAAATTTACTTAATTAGTTCCAAAAAACGGCTACAGCCTGTTTACGGAGCTCGATTTTCTTATTAACTGTAATGAATTATGTAATTCTTTTTTATTTCGTGACATACTGTACTCTTTACAGGATCCGAAGTCGGAGCAAATGCTTGAGGGCCTTATTGAAGCTGCCTTAAGTTCCCCAATGGCGGCATCGTTCGAACCAACCTACCGGCAGCTTCAAGCGATGCGTCTGGATCGGCATGCGTTCGTGATCACCTCTGTGATTGGCCAGGAACTACTAGGAGCTCACGAGTTTGCCCCAGCTGCGATCGTCCTCGAAGCAGCTCTCGTGGTAGGATCAACTTGCGCACCAGAACTTAGAGGATCGGTGTTATCCGCACTGAGTTCGGCTTTCTGGGCGCTCAACGACATCGATAAAGCATTATCTTATATGCAGCAAGATTTGGCTGTAGCTACAGCAACGGGAGACACCTCCAGCAAATGTCGAGCGCACTCAAACCTTGGGTCAGCATTTTTCTCCAAGGGAATGTACAAAGAAGCTCTTCAAAGTCACAAGGCTCAACTCGTATTAGCCATGAGGCTAAAAGACACCATGTCTGCGGCTCAAGCGTTGACCAGTTTAGGTCATGTCCATACAGCCCTTGGGGACCTGCCAATGGCCCTAGCTAGCCATCAACAGTGTGTCCAACTAGTGGCAGAGCTAGGCAATCGAATATTAGAGGCTAGGGAGACCAGCAACGTGGGGGCTGTATATCTTGCTATGGGAGACTTCGACAACGCTTTGCAGTGCTACCACACCCATTTATCTATTGCATTAGCTCTTAATGATCGCGTCGAAGAAGCTAAGGTAAGCGCTCCTAGTCTATGACTGACCCAACACTAAGTTGACTTAATTATTTATTAGGTGCGCAAATATATTCTTGTGTATATGCATGCCCCTTATCCATCTTTTCGATAATAGTCAAACGGGTTCTCTAAAATGGTAACCGCCGAAGTAATCGCCTTTTAGCAGACACCTTACAAAGATGTTGGTAATACGATGAAGATTCCTTTGAATCAAGATATCCAAATACCTATTGTATGGCTGCCTTTCCTGCCATGGGTTTAGCATTGGTCGAAGTAAATGGCTACATAAAGGAGCCGAGACTGATGACCAAGTAGCACGGGCGTAATACATAATAAGAGCGTACTGTTTAAAACGAATGGAGTCGAGCCTTTATATGCTCCAGCTTTTTGTCAAATTTACCGAAGCACCTCTCTACAGCTCACATGATTGGTTGCAGGCTTATTCGAATTTAGGGTCGGTTCATCACCGCCGCCTGGAGTTTGAACGTGCCGCCTTCTATCATGCAGAAGTACTGCGAATCAGTGAAGAGCTACAAGAGCGTTCAATAGAAGCGCGTGCCTGTGCCGGGTTAGGTCATTCTGCGAGGGCTATAGGAGACTTCCAAGGCGCGAAAAAATGGTACGAAAGGCAATTAGACCTAGCACTCTCCACCAAAGACCGCGCCGCAGAAGCGAGGTGAGTGCCGCCGTAATGCTATTACGATCAATTTCTTATAAAACAATCCTGTAATATTTTCAAACTGTGAAAGATGCACATAACGGACGCCCAAACTTGCTTTTCAAATCGTATTACCGATCCCTGTATTGTAATTGGGACATAAGGAACATTCTAGAACTTTCGGTATCTATATATAGTACAGTGGTGACAACACACAGACTCACGGCGAAAATATGTTTCCAGCAACGCCTCTCCTTAAAGCTATTCTTGCATTTTCCAATATTGACACGTGTCACCTCATACGCATATCCGTATTACCGATACCATCCCTGAACCAGCTACACATTGCATCTGTTAAGCTAATTAAACACTATCATAGACCGGTCACTGGGCTAGTTCACAAGTGCTCTTCCAAGTTCCCAACCATTGCTTTGCTACGAGACACCAGTTATTTATGAACGATGGCGTTTATTTGACCCTCGATAACTATACTAATACGTCTCTACCCACTTCAGGGCGCTTTCGAACCTAGGAGCAGTGTTTCATTTGAGTGGAGATTTTGATGCGGCTCTGAAACTTCACCAACAGCATTTAAGGTTGGCACGAAACCTAGGTGATATAACGGCCACTGGACGGGCACTTGGCAATATCGGCAAGGCATACGCCGGACAAAGATGCCATAAGCAAGCAATTAAATTTCACAAAGAAGAGCTACGCGTGGCTCGTGAAATGGGGGACCGGGCCGCTGAGGGGTCGACCTGCGGACATCTGGCAGTGAGTGAAATCTGCACGAACACCCCGTTACTATTTTGGCTATATGCTGCTAGTGTACACAGCTTGCCAATATTACCTATATTGACATTGTGTCCTTTTAATAATTAACTGAATGCAGAAAGTAAATGTGATGCGACACACTTGTTTGCAGATGGCGTATCAGGCGTTGGGTATGCATGAACAAGCCCTCCAGCACCATCATGGGCAACTGAACATTGCCAGGGAGATGAATGATGCACCTAGTGAAGCATGCGCTCTGTGCAATTTGGGCTGTTGTTACAGTGCCAAAGGTTAGTGAAACATGTACACACTTTAGAGCTGCGGTAAGAAAACAAAAGGAAAATATATACTTAGAAGTGAACAAATGACTCGTTTTGTCAGTGCTAAGAAAGCCGTCAATGAGAAGAAATCGATAGAAATGCTTTAGCAACGGGAAGGCCCCATAGCAGGTCAACGCGGGGAGCGGACGTACAATGAGAGGTGGTATAGAGTGTTGGGTTCTTGACCACGGCGACTGTCTGGTGCGCTGGGCTTGGGGGGTCAAGACGACCGAGACTCGGCAAGAAAAAAAACTAGACTCAGTACTGTCGATTCTCATAGATGTGTGTATATTAGTGCGCTTGCGTGGATATTCACAAGCGAAAATGGCAATTGAAAGCTAGCAGTGAAGTCAAGGCTAGCTTCAGCAACTTCATAGGCCAAGGGTATTCAGTTTATGGCCCGAAAGCAGTTACCAAATTGGATCAGCAACGTTACATCCATATACAAGTGAACTTAGTGTTCCTGGTAAAATGTTTTTTCAGAGGCAGTTTCGAGGACACAATCACCGATCGGTGATACCTGACTAGAAACCCGAATAGAGAAAGGCTCACAGGAGAGAAAAGCGTTCGTAGACAAATATTACTTCGAACATAACCAGCTGTAGGAGACTATGGTCGCCTAGACTCTGCTACCTGATGTCAGCAAATCTCATTGTCTTATCAAACAAAAATTGTCGTACAGTTTCCTATGACCAAAGGTTGACTGAAAAGTTGCAAGTGTGTGGCAACGTACACTTTGTCATCACCGAATCATTCGTCGTTCGAGGCCCGTGGGGCTCAAGCACAAATTTATCGCTCGGCTAAAACCGCTTTAGATGGTCCGTTGAAATTCCCAAATCAGATTGCAAAGTTCTTACGGTAAAGCCCATTTCGCTGGAGGTTCATTCGGGTTCGATTTCGTCGGTGCATGATTGTAAATGGAATGGGATGAGTGTATGTAGGTGATTGCCAGTAAACGTTTCGGAGATCAGTGAGCTAGCAGTTCGGCTCTTTTTTCAGACGTTACACTGTGCTTTTCGACTGATTTTCTTATTTAATTTTTTGCTTTGCAGGAGAATTCTTCCAAGCTATTCCTTATTACGAAAATTTTCTACGGCTGTCCCAGGAGCTTGGAAATTTAGACAATGAAACCAAAGCGTGCCATTTTCTGGGTTACGCGCATTTCTGTTTGGGAAATCATGCTGACGCCATTAGTTATTATGAGCGCGCCCTTCAACTTTGTGGTGACGTTTGTGCTGATTCGCCAAGCACTATATCGGGCTCATCACCAGAGACAACGATATCTAATGTGGAGCCCTCTTTGAGGCGGCTTAAGAATATACAAAACAATGAGAGTCGGCAAGACCTCAGTAGGGCTTACTGCAATTTAGGCCTAGCGAAGGCTGCCGTGGGCGACTTCCAAGCGGCCCTAGATTGCCAACGACGTTTCCTTACTATCGCTCAAGTTTCAAGGGACATACAGGGTAAATTTCGAGCTCTTGGCAACATAGGAGACGTCTTCATGCGGATGGGCAATGGACAAGAAGCCGTTAAGGTACGCGGGCCTCTATGTAAATCTATTCGATTTAAAATTGTGCAGTTCTCTTCATCTGACTAAATCGGTCATTTCTAGCTAAAGGATTATCATAAAACAATATCACTTTGCCTAATAGATGGACATAGGTCTTGTAAATGAATCAGAGACACAATCTTCTTCGTTTATAGGCATATCAGAAACAACTCGTTCTTTGCCGGGAAGAATTTGACGCATCGTTGAAACATCTCGAGGCAAATTCATATTCAGCTTTAGGTGCGTGTCACCGGCAGATGAAGGCCTTTGATCGTGCGTTAGGTTTCCATGCTCAGGAACTACAGATCTACAAAGAACTGGGTAACCTGCAAGGCGAATGTCGAGCTCAGTCGAGTCTGGGAACGACGCACGTAGGTTTAGGGAACTACGCCGAAGCTCTAAGATGTTTCCAAGCTCAACTAGAGAAAGCCAAGGAATTGAGAAGTGCTGCCCTTGAAGTACACGCCCTGACTAATGTTGGTGGAATGAGATTAAAGCTGGGCCATTTTGATGAGGCCCTTGCCATGTTCGAACGACAAGCTCACCTACTAGAATCGGTACGAGACTATGACTGCCTTTATTTGACCACCTTTCTTGTGAATATACACGATTTAACACACATTTTGTGCTTTGGCAATTCGATATATTGATGTTAGGTGCTGCTGTTGACTCTGTTTCAGATGGAGGGGCCAAATATAGTTCTAGAGCGAGCAAGAACTTGTGGTCAGCTAGGAGAATGTTATCTAGGTCTTGGAGATTTTAAGGTAAGTGCATAGTTTCATTATACAGATATGGCTGTACTAGCCGCGATTGTCACCGAGAATCTGAAAGGTTGAAATCCATAAAATATGAATTCTAATTTAATGATTGAATTTCTAGGAAGCAATAGAACGTTTTCTACAATTTCTGCGAGCTGCGTTAAGGTTAAACTCAGCCAAGGACAAAGAACGGGCGTATAAGGGTGTTGGTAATGCCTATTTAAGTATCAACGACTTCCAGCAGGCACTTGTAAGTTTGCAAACAGTTACTACAAGAATGATGCTATAATACGTTGCTTCCCAGTTTTAGAATTTTAAAAAAACTTACTAAAAAGAATTATGGAGACAAATGTTAACCTTGTACAGCACAATCAATAACGTTTATCTGCCACGTGACGGTTGTAGATGTATTTTGAGAAAAGGCTGGTTGTCGCGCATGAGCTAGACGACTCGTCGATAAAGTGCGGGGCTTACGGAGATCTCGGTCGACTGCACGGCGAAATGGGACATTTTGCTCAGGCACTATCTTGTCTTGAGCACAAAATGCGTGTAGCGCAAGACAGCGGTGATGAGCTATCGCGTGCGGAAGCGGCCGCTTTCCTTGGAAACGTCTACGTAAAAATGGCCGATTTCGATAGAGCCATTGAGTGTCATCGTCTTGATCTCAGCATCTCGGAGCAAGAGGTAATAGAAGTTCATACAGCTTAAAGCGTCAACAATGCTTTGGCAGACAATCAAGTCTACTCGAGTTTTGTATCTAGACATAGCTTTTAGTAGAGCTTCCCTTGTTTATCTGTAAAATGCCCTTAGAGTTATGAAAGATCCCTTGGGCTTGGCCAAAACAGATAAAGATGCATGTATGCTCTTATTCACTTCATTCCTTTCAGATCAAGGACCTTCGAGGACAGACTCGCGCGCACGGTAATTTAGGAAACACATTCGAAGCCATGGCTTGCTTTGAACAGGCGATTGCTCACCATGAAAAGCATCTTGAATTGGCGTCCAGACTTAAAGATAAGGCCAGTAAGGCAGTAGCCTATACCAGCCTCGGCCGTATTCACCACGCTCTTGGGGCTCTGGCCAAAGCCACCGAATATCTCCAACAGGTAAAATGACAAAACAACAAAAATAATATTTGCCGAGGTCTATTAAAATTTTCCGAGTTGTTAAAGCTTCATGAAGTCAAATATTGTCATATAACGAGATCACTTGGCATAACCCTCTGCCCATCCAGGATTACTTTTAATAGCCATTTTTTTTTAGTCAGTTTGACATGAATCTGCACTCATACCTTCGTCACGTTGCGGCGTCTTAAAAGAGCGCGCTTTGAGTACTCCTTGTCCAGGCTGCTGCTGTGTTTGGGTAACTGTCGTCGGTTAAAAATTGCTTTTGTACCTTCTTTTATACTAATCCTCTACGGAAATTATCTGTTCTTTTTCCTAATAGCAGTAGTACTAATATCGTCAAGTTGTTGGTAATGCTACGTTTATCATGGCGTATGCGTCTATTGTATTTTGCACGCCGACGGCTCATGCTGAAGGTGCCATTTTTAAACTTTGCACAGAACACTCTAGAATTGACTGGCCCGAATCTTAACGTATTTGGTAAAGAGTGCAGCCCACTACTTCGTATGGCAGTTTAGTTTAAGCAGAAGTTTGCAGCTGCAAAGCCGAAATATGAATTTCTTATTGGCGATATTGCTCATCCAGTGCTCACAGGATTCTCGTTGTAGTAAGTTACCCATTTTTTAGCGGAGAGCAGACCGTGAGAAACATAGCGTCAGAGAACTCTACTTTTCGGATCAGACAGTGATTTCGTTGCAGACAAAATTGCTACGAATGAAGCTAGCCAATAAACTAACAGTGTAAAGAAGGGCAGAAAGGTATTAAAAGGAGGCGCTAATGTTTCAGCCTGAACATCGAGTTCAAATACACAAGTACCAGAGGTTCGGGGATTGACTTCCGAGCTACCTGATCTGAAGTTGGTTTTGTCCGTTTTGATTAGAATTATTAATATTATTTGATTAGAACTGGAACGTATGGCCATCATTTTTGACCAAACTACAGGGTCTGGCGATGGCGGAGCAGCTTGGAAAGCAAGACGAGGAAGCTACCATTAGGAGAAGATTGGCGTTCGCATTATGGGCCCAAGGCGATTTGCGTGGCGCATGCCAGGAGCTCGAGAAAACCGTCGATCTCCTCGAAGCCAGCCGATATACATCTCAAAGCGAAAGCGATCAAAAGGTATTTTTGTTTAGGTTTCTCATTAGTTCGTGTTATTGTATAACTAATATCTTACAAACTTTATGAGTTCAGCCGAACGTGAACGGTAGCTTTGCTTTTCAGGCAACATACGTCGCACTCCAACGCGCACAAGTTTTGTTAAGCCGGCATGAAGCAGCTCTAACTACCGCCGAGCGACTTCGAGTTCGTTTCGAGCGAGTGTCTCGCTATGAGCGTGATTCATCACACGCTTTCCCTTGCTCACAATTAACAGCCGAATTAATCGTGGACGCTGTTGACCGACAGAAGGCCGCTGTGATATACTATAGCGATGTTGCGGGAATTCTCTACTCGTGGCTAATCATACCGCAGAAGGGTGTCGTCAAATTTGCAGAAACCGTTACCAGCGAAGCCGTGCAAGCATCTGATTTAAACGTTCCAAATGCCGAAGGCCGATTCCCGGTTGATACTGACGACGATACCATTGCTCGTCACCTTGCGAGTCTTCGGGAAGGCCTTGGGGTCGGGGTGGACAGCTTAAGCTCAACGAAATCAGATGACGAAGGTACAGAATCCGATTCTGAAGTATTTGGGAGATTACGGCGGAATCATCTGTTGAATAGCTCTAGCTATAGTCTCAGTAGTGTGTTCTCCGTTGGAAGCGTCAGTGTAGCGTCAGCGTCAACCAGGCCAATTGACAGTAGTAGTTCCAGCAGCAGCCGGTCACCGAGACCGCACTGGACAGGACCCCCAGCGTTGCATGCACTTTACGACATTCTCGTCGCACCGTTCATGGATCAGCTTGCCGGGGTGCACGAAATAGCCATTGTGCCTGACGCGAAACTAAATCTCGTGCCATTTGCCATGCTTCGTGGTGAAGATACGGGGTATCTTGGAGAACGTTTCTTGCTGACAAACGTTCCATCAATTGCTGCTATACGAAGTGGACAGAGGGCGAAAATGCTCCGAAGGCAAGATAACGATGAGACAGCCAATATGGCGCTTGTCGTTGGAAACCCGCGGCTAACGCCTGGAATGCAGAAAATGCTCGATTTAGGCGATATTCCCCGTGCTCATGAAGAGGCCGAACTGGTCGGTGAGGTGCTTACGGCCAAGCCGATGTTGGGACTTGAAGCGACCAAGGAAGCAGTTATGAATCAGCTTTCTGCGGCAACGGTGATCCACATCGCAGCTCATGTCTCTTGGAGGCTACCGGGAATCGTTCTGTCTTTAGGTAGTAATGTGCTAGAAGGCGAACATCCGTACTTGGCCGCAGAAAATGCTGAAGATGAAGATGAAGAGGATATGCCATCATCGAGCGAATTCTTGCTAACACCACAAGATCTTATGACTCTTCATCTTCGCGCCAAGCTTGTCGTGTTGAGTTCATGCCATACGCGATCGGAGCATGGCGAGATTCGCGGGGAAGGATTCAATCAAATTACAAGGGCGTTTCTTGCTGCAGGGGCGCAATGTGTTATTGTATCGCTATGGCCCGTAGCTGACACTGCTGTTAAAATCCTGTACCGAACGTTTTATTCATCACTGCTTCAGGGCTCGAAGGCAGCAGCGGCCTTAGCTGAAGCAATGAGGACTATTCAGACAACAAAACAGTTTGCACATCCCGCCAACTGGGCTGGTTTCGTGCTTGTAGGCTCCAATGTTCGTGTCGCTTATCAGGTGGCTGCCATGGGCCAGGCGTTAGCAGAGATGCTTCGCTACCCGGAAAGAAGCCGCGACGCTCTACGAGTATGTCTTCATCTAGTAGAAAAATCGCTACAAAGAATTCATCGGTGCCAAAGAAATGCAATGTATACGACGCAGAAGTCCATCGAGAATAAGGTAGGCACAGCTGTAACTGGTTGGAAGGAACTGCTCATATCGGTTGGCTTTCGTTTTGAACCGGCTGCGAACAATCTACCGGCCGCAGTTTTCTTCCCACAATCAGACCCCGGCGATCGGCTCAATCGATGCAGTTCGAATCTGCAGGCCCTTTTAGGACTATCGGTTCAAACTCAATCCGCTATTGCAAAGCTTATGTCCAATGGAGATTATGTTGATGACATCGTACATCTGATGCGTGAGGTAGTTTCACAGTTGGAACGCAGCCATCGAGGACAGGACGGAGGCGTTGAATGTCCGGTAAGCGTGAAACTATGGAGTGTTCCGGGATGCCACGAACTCCTTGCGTCCCTTGGATTCGATCTGATGGAAGTTGGAGTTAATGAGGTGACGCTTCGTATGGGCAAATCGGCTGACTCGCGCACGATCGAATTCGCTCTGCAAGCCTTGCTGGCCCTTCTCGATCCCATTGATTCACAGGATGAGACCCACAGTGTTCAGGATCCCGACGCCAGCGAACACAGTGATGACGATTCCCTTGAAAGTCACGCATCACTTCAGGCCGAGCCACCAGCCGAATTTAATCAAGGACCGCAAGCTGTGGTACGTCGCAGCCGTGTGATCAGTGCAGGCGACGGGGCATTCACACACTTCGTAAGAACCCGGGGAGAACCTGATGGGCTGAGTGCTACTGTGCCAGGAGCGGAAATCGAAAATATCGCTGATGAGAAAAGACTCAAAAGCAGCAAGTCCATATGGAGTAATAAAAGTGCTTCACAACACATCTACGCTTCAGCAAGCTCCCATAGCAGTGCCAGTAATCAGATCGATGAGGAAGAAGGCATTCAGCCACGTTTTGAAGCTTTTACAATCAGTGCCAATGGTAACCCAAAACAAAAGCCGGCAATGTCGGCAACTACTCTCAATGATATCTACCATGAAACACGAAGTTCTATGGGTTTGGGATTAGCCCCATCACTCCTCAATATCCTGCGAAACGATACGCATTATTCCAAGGTTCCCCCACCTCAGCAGGCTTTGCGCCAAGAACTGCTACTGTCTCCCGCCAGACCTGAAGCTGATTTTGGGGGAAACTGTGGCGTTCCCCCAGAACCGCCCCGTATTGCTCGACCGCCTCCGCCACCCTTACCACTAACTGTTGCGCCTCGAATTGCAGATCTAGAGCGACCTAGAGCGGCCTTAAGAAACCTGCAGCAAAATGATTCGAACAATAACAGCAACAACAATGCCAACTACGCCACCAATATCCCAAAAACCGAAGAAAACTTAATCCAACCTGGGTTTTTAAGAGCAGCAACAAACGTCAAGCGAAGATCTGCTACCTTCAATGCGGCTAGCAGCTCAACAAAAGGCAAGGATAGCCTTGTCTGAGGTCACTGTATAAATACCGATTAGAACTATTCAGACATAACGGTTGTTCTGAATCTATTTTTATCTGCTCATAAGCATTGCGCAAGTGTCACTTTATCTCGTAACGTTTACTCGTAGATCTGCGCCTAACGGTCAAATTCCGGTGAGAGTAAACTAAAATCCTTGACTCTCATTCGTGAACACGTGGCATCGAGAAAGAGCTTTTTAGAACAGGCCTATGTAAGTTTTAGACAGTTTTGTCAGACTGTAAACGTGAGATTCAAAAGATTATGTGAAACTTATATATACTGTACGATAACAAATGTATGTAAGTTATATGTTAGCTAGAAAATATCGTTACTTAATGCTAGAAAAGTTGTCGCGGAATAAACAAAATAGACGTGCGATTAGATAAACGCAATCAATTACCTGTCAATTCTTTGACATATGTAAGTAATAGCAAGGTAACCGATAATGGCACACTGAAGGTAGCTAAAACTGACTTACTGAGATAGGAATAAACAAGTTCTTCATTGAGTCTACTTCAACAGAACAATGGTAGGTCTCGTATTTACAAGGGGTATGTCACAAAACACAAAAATAACTTACAGAGATACAATAATACAGATAATAAGATACAATAATCCCCTTTTTGCATTCGCCCCAGTTAACTGCAATGAAGTGGGGGGTCGTTTCAGGCATCATCAGAAAGAAAAGAAGATTGATTAGGTTGCGATCGTAATATCTCTCCGGTGAGCGACAAAATTTGGATCTATTTTAGCCTACCCTAAGCGCTATGCTTTCTCACGAGTCTAATATGTGATCATGGGGCTTTTGCTTCCATACGTCTCATCGCTTTTTTACCCGAATCTTTATATATGTTTAATATCATTTCAAAAGTTTCGCGGGTGCATTGCATCCATTTTTGTACCGCAATCCCCCAGGCGCTTCAAGAATCGGAGCAAAATGGTGGTGCATTGCCGGTGGTGCAAACGCCGATATCTTGCGTTTTTTCGACTCAATGATTTCCACTAGATACCTTGATCCTTGTTGCCAATCCTTATATGATGATAGTACCTTCTTTACGCTTTCATTAACTAAGACGAGTCTGCTCAGTTGGGTATGTTCTAACTAGCTTCTAGCTGAACGGATGGTATGGCATTCCTTTCGACACTTTCGAGAAGTATGGAACCTTTATGAGCTCTTCACAGCCGGTATTCTAAAGGGTGGGCCCAGGCACCGACCCTAGGAGAACCCTGGTCGTCCCTATGGTTAACATCATTCCCCGCAGATAAAAGATTGACCAATGCAAGCTTGTAATTTAGCATCCATTTTTGACATCTAGCAAGGTTACAGGTACAAAGGGTATGCCTCATTTAGTTATTAGTAACAAAAATTTAACTACTTCACCCTCTAGCGTTAATGGCCCAGCTAAACGTCCATTGCCCGTGGTGCGCTATGGATCAATTCGTATATATTAAAAATATAATATAATAGGAATTTTTATCATATTTACGCTAAGTAATCTAATTGGCGCTCGATTAACTCTTATCCCGTCCTTCTCTCAAGATGATCTAGTAACATTTAAATGTATCTATCTGTGTTTACTTCACATTCTCGATGCGCAAAGCCTTCTTATATTGAATAAAAGTGAATCATTTAAAACCAAATAAACTAAGTAAAAATTCATACAGTACATCTGCATATGGGGAAGTTAAAAATAGTACTAACTTCTTTCTATTTTTCAACCAGGTCAGCTTTAGATCAAATCACCTCCTGAAGTCTGTCTATAGAACGGTCTCAAAGGGTACAATTTTTTCGCGTCTGTTGGTTAAATGAGTTTTCGTTGTGAGCCTTCAGATGGTTAGATATTTACGCTTTGGTCTAGTAGCATCACGGCCATATGCCACATTTCTCCCTTGGCTAATCTCTAAGTCATGCCATCGACAGGTACCAAAGCTGTAGCAAATACAAGATCCTACGGTCTTTCTCATACGGTCTACTGATTGCATATGTTGGCAGGAAATGGGTCAGGCGTGATTTGCTCTGAAATGCCAGTGTCATGCGGGTCCAGCTTAGCTTACCCTCGCCAGAATTCTCAGGCGACGTTTTCAGCAGTAACATTCAAAGCACAACTAGAACCGTCTCGTCTGAAGGCAGCGCTAAAATTATGAAGGGGATTATTGACGTGATCCTAATAGGACTTTCGTTCGTACTTGCCGTGATGGCTTGCAGTGCACCATGTGATGTAATGAACCGCGTCTTTCCATTTATAAGTTAGTCTATATGTAATTAAGTCGGGTGAAAGTATTGTGGTTAGATAATGTTGTTTTGTAAGTACGATCTTCCGCTTTTTTCTTTTTGACAAAGGATTCAATGATTGAGCTCTAGTATTACACAAACATTTGTTTTCTACGTAATGTCTATATGGAGTGTTTGTACTGTAATGTTTCTGAGCATCTTGGAGGTTTTTACTCCGCAAAACTGAATAGATAGAAAAAAAATTTATCCATATTTCTTTAACAACAGAGGTCGTGCTCGAGCATATGCGTATCTTACAAGTTATTGTAGTGAAATCATTAAAATACACCTAAATAATTTGCTCCGCAGTTTACGGTTCTGTTTACGGAGATACGTGACACTGACAGGCGAACAAACACGAACGGTCTGTGATCAATTACGCATTCAAGGATATTTCTATCAAGGCTAAAAAAAATGGGCCTTCAATAAGGACGAACGGGCCAAGAGGTTTTGCGGTAGCAACATCGCCGTAGTGCGATAGCATTTCAAGGAATAGATTGATTGAAATATTATAATCTCATTTCCGGTAGTTTTGTAAATCGATAAGGTCAGCACGTTCCGTATGCAAGCATTATGCTATCGCGCTTAGTAGTCTTAAAGTAGGAGCTATAGGAACAATCTGATGGTTGATCACAAATTACCGCATCAGTTATTCATTCACGAGCGAGGACGAGCGGCCCAACCCATCTGAGTAAGTTAGCATTATTTACGAACTTATTTTTGATAGCTTACATTTCTTCTATTATATTTCATATTTTCTTTTCATAGCCGTGTAAAACCCATATTGATTGCTGCAGCCTGGTGTGCAAGGAACGCCGAAACGGCAACAGGGAATGCACCTACACGTCGGGATACGATCTACCTGAATGCAAATTCTAATAAACGCTATTTACCGATAAAAGATGTCGAAGATGAACGGTTACAACAATGGAAAGCTAACGAAGATTCGACCAGCTTGTCAGATTTTCTTCAGTGACCTTTCTTGTTTTTTAAATAATTAACATAAGGAAGTATTAAATGAACGTACGTACGTTTCTAGGCAAAGATAATCCGGGATCCGGAAGTTATCTCAGCAAATAGTCTAACTTAGCGTTCTTTTTACGCCACCCGCTGTTCGTGATGCATAACGCGTTATTCCGATGTAAGATTCAACTGTGATGGAATAGTAAGGCAGGCTTAAGAAGCTCAACTCCTAATGCTCGCTAATATAGCTGAGTCCATAAGTGTCTACGGTCCACGGTTGGGTGTGCATTTAATTCAACTAATTGGTTATACACAGTACTCTGCTGTGTTACTCAGTATAGAAAATAAGCTATCCCGTTAAGCTGATCGGCAACGACGGCCTGACTGAAGGCCACATCGGTCTTATTTTGAGCCTATTGAGCCTACGCTTGCTGCTTCGTACTCGAAAATGCAGTACTGCCCCGATAATGAATTATTAACTGTGGCCAGTGTACTCCGTGTCCACAAAGCCTAAAGTTTGATGTTTTTTTTAAGTCTAAGCACAGCCTGTGTGGCGTGCTACATTCAACATATAAGTAGACAATTCGGATCCGGATCACCGTAGTTCGGTTCAATGGACTATACTTATAACTGAAATACTGTGTACACGATAAGCGATTTGCAGTTGAAGCAGAGATTATCTCTATTCTAAAGGTAATTTTCCAATACTTCAAGTGCCATAAAAGCTCTGCTCGATATATACACTGTACGACGTACGTCGTGTAATAGCATTAATAAGTGACCACACAGAAAGACATGGTCGACCAAGTTCGATTGATATGGGTTATTGATCCGTATGACAGTCATCCAAGGGAAGAGTGATTTGTTTCCAGCTCTTGCCTATTCATCAGCGTCCTATGATCCATTGACAGCTTCCGCTGCTGTACCAGAGTAACGTGTAGATTCATTTACAGTCCATAAAGGAATGTTGTTTCTACAAACATTTTGGTAAATTTTCCTAGCTCTCTAACACATCAGCCGGCATTTTGCCCTTGTCTAGCCGTATATACAGCTTTCGCCCTCTCGCATGCACGTGCTAAAAGCACTTAGAGATACAGTAGATAAACAAAACGCGCCTCAATTCAGACGCTTGCGAATAAGGACGAACGGATCAGCTCCACAAGCAAATGTGCGCTGAAGTATTGCACGATTACGCCAGAGATACCGACAGACCAATTAATGGAGTAAATGTCTTTATGCAAGATAATCGTCCGTCGGCAAAAGAAAAAAAAATGATTAAGTTACAAAAAGCTGGAAATGGAAGGGTCGAATGGAAAAAAATGCATGTTTTTTACGCGCTCCTAACAGTATTGAGATTATGAAAGGCTCGTATTAGCACCGGAAAACAATGGCGAAATACAACGTAGTCGTCCAAATTTATTCTTTCTATATTTTCAAGACAAAACTAGGTAACTATCTAAAAATGCTCAAGCTACGTTATCTGAAATGGCATTTCAACAGTCTTCACCGTCACTTCAGAAACGAATACGAGCGTATGATACTTTATTCATAACACAATCTTCGATACATCAACAAATAAGATCAAGTTCGATCTGCTTAAGTGCTCATCTGGCAGCAGAAAAGCCTTAATTATAGGCTATACAAATGTCATGGCCATATTAATCGACAAATATAGGCATTTTATTAGGTTTTCATATAATATAGACGCACAACGGTCGGCTGACGCACCCGATCTCGGTCCGATTCATTCTCCCGTTGACTAGCTTCCGAGTTGTGTGTCTCGGTTGGTGGTCGGCTGTCTTCTCAGACGTGTCTTCGTTTAGCCAAGAGCGTGTGACGCACTTCAACCATAAACTATGATCCTGAATATGAACTTCCTACTGAACTTTCCCGATTCACCTCTAGACTATTATGAGGTATTTAGCTTATTCACGCTAGCTCTGCTTACGTTGAATGTGCCACTGTCCACTATCGAAATAGGTAAGCCATCGCCGTTTGGACTTGGCAAACTTAGATGGGTTGAATATCTACCTACTGGTCGTCCGTCTAGCCGTGTTTTTTAGTGACAACCGTACGATACGGTCGGACGTACATCAAACCGATTCGACGAATCCTTTCCCGCTCTGCTATTTCTGTTTCTCAAATTTGCCCCTAAGCAATTAATTCATTAATGGCCTCCACAGTAAAGTCGTATAAGTACTACAACAACAGTCTTGTTTTGCCTATAGCTTCTACCAGATCACGTTTGTTAACCAATGGTTTACATTTAATTACTGGTCTCAAGCATTTTGGTGCATGACCTTCTTCGGCCTGCATCGCCTCGATATCATCACAGGTCTCTTTTAACACTGAAAAAGTTCTCATTGTCGTGTCGATTCTCATAGGTAATCCGACATCCAGCCTTCGTGACCCATATATATATATATGAATAGCTGCCCAGATGTGAACAAGAGCCTTTAGCGCCTAGCTTCCATATCGAAAACTCTAGAGACGCTTCTCACCACAGTTAAAGCAGAACCTAGCCGTGACAACGAGAAACGGCGAACTGCATTTGACGCAGACGTCCGCACTCGAAGACCGAAGGTCGGTCATACTGGCCCCCGTGGTAATCCTTGGAGAGTGTCTCAGGACGTAATCCTCTGTGAAACGCCTAGAGTCCCATCTGTAATGAATGCAGCAAGAACGCGATTTTATGGCAAGTTTCTCGGCCACATTCTAACGATAGGCAAGTATGCTATCGTTAGAATGTGGCCGAGAGCTTTCGATAATGCATATGCGAATTGAAGATAGCTTAATTGTAGACTATATTTTATTATTGAGAGCCCTCAGAGACTCAGACTAGATTGAAGCGATCAGTAAAATGAGACAGAAGGGTAACAAAACAAGGCATCTAGCTTCCGTCTTTAAGCGTCTCCAAATTCTGTTTTACTTTTAGCAGTACAGAAAAGATTGAATAAAAAATTTCTGCCGTTTACATTCGATTCGTTACCGAACGTATGTATAATTGTGCCATTACCCATGCAAGGTTAGAAATTAGATCAGTGTTATTTATTTTAAGATCATTTCAGTTATAGGTTGCTGTTACATTAAGTCCAGTCGTAGAAAACGATTGACCTTGGCTAACTCGTGTACCTGTCGACACTTCGTATTTAAGATGCATTTTCATAGCCCTTCGGGTTTTCCCATTATGTCATTATCGCAGGCTAACTAACATCCACTATATGGAAAAAAATTAGTATAAATCGCTTGTTTAATTATACTGTACAAATAATATATCATCTATTTTCTCACATTAAGGATTTTTCTTTTGCATTTGATTGCCAATTAAAAGCTTAGCTCTAGCAGGCCAAATGAGCTATCGCAGTAGTTAGAGAAAAGAGTCAACAATGCCAAAGAGTATCTTGAGAAAGGCACTAAAAAGAAAAACAAAAAAAAAAAACACTGAACTATAAAAAGCATAATTTCGACTTATTCACATTCGAGCAATCCTCTAGCTTTGGCATTCAAATACACAGTATAATTTTCCAATGAAGCTACCATAACATTCGAGACAACTATACATCTCGTATACACACTATCTTACATAGTAAATTAAGGCTATTAATAATTAAGGATAGTCCAATATATCTTGCTCCTTCACGACCTTTAAAGTTTAATTACGATTCAGGTGGCGCGAGCCTACACTTGTCCACTTATTTGGCCTTCGTATATTTTGCCGGGCCTGCGATAATGATTACTTGCACTACTAACAATTAACGAGTGACGGAACCATAACGTTGTGGCTATATATATCACTGTTCGCCCATTGATTCAATTTAGTTATTTGCATTCAATTATGTCCTCTGTTAGGATCATTTTAGTTTGCATGCTTACGGGCTGCTGCCCTCGGTGTTTTGACAGTGATACGGTGCACGTGGCGTGCTGTGATACGATGGGGCATTGAGTTTTTTGACGTACATTATATCGAATAGTTTGTATAACAGGCAGTTCCGTCTCTTCAACGTGCATCGCTGCGTCATGGGATTCCGCAAATTTATCATAGCTTCTCAATTTAATTATTTTTCTCACGGTAGCGAGATCCACATTCGATTTTTGTTTTCTATTTCTGACGACTTCTGCTTGCACCTGTACCTTCTGTATAATCGGTTATGTTCTCCGAAATTTTTCAGTTGCCGTACTGCAGCGATTACCGAATCTCGGTGTTGACGGTGGTCTTGCTAATCTCACGAATCACGGATCTATTTAGGTTGGGAAGCTGGCGTGAAGTCACTGCCAACGATGTGTCTGGTTTGGGCCTAGTTTCTCCGGCGAGCTGAAGTAAGAAACCCAGTGCTGCAGGCACATACACATTTCACTTCAACAGTCATTACCGAAACATACGTAATACGTGACAATCTCAAGTTTATTAAAAAAAATCTACACTTCTCAAGCCAGTATGTCATCTATTTAGTAGTTTGTCCGGAGCTATTTAGGGGACTTGAATTATCTGTACACCACGCATTGCTAGCAAACGAAGCTTCGTAAATACCTAAACCAAGCCCTTAACTATCCGCAACTGTAAACTGAATAAGTGTCATCAAAAAAAAATAATAAGTTTAGAGGCAAAGATATTACTTAGCACCAAAGATCAAAATCTGCTACTTAGTTGACAATAGGAGCTTAGGTTGAACCTACTGAAAATTGGTGAAAATACTAAATACAAAGTTTTCCCGCAAGATAATCAGTAACTATGGGGCTCTTTTAGGAACGCAACTTGGAAAGCTAAATATAGCGGAATTGAAAAACTGATCGGAAAAACAAACTGCCATCATCGCCTTCAAGCAAAAAACGACTATGCAAAAAAGTAAAAATATGTGCCCCTCACGAACAGAGTCCAAACCGGATAGATACGCACTTAGTGTACTCCAACAATATCTTTTTACAAACAGTAGATTTTGTAGCAGATCATCGCTACCAGAACAGACTACGAAGCTACTTCGGTGGCAATCGTGGTTAGATTCGAGCATAGATTGATACTCGGATGGAAAAGAAATTGCTCGAACAGGAAATGGTCGGTGCTATCTACTATAGATTTCTAGAAGCCTCGTGGACGCGGGTAGTTACTGAACAAAGTCTCACGCCTTCATTGCCACGCTCCAAAAACCGCCTCGATCGAAGAAAACAGAATCGAACGATGGCTTGAGTCCTCATATTTTTTTACATTCCTGTAATGTTGACAACTTAGAGAATGATAACCTACTAATGGTTCTTTTCAACAGGTACGGTAATGCAAATTATAAGTAACTTCTAAAGCATTACCTTCGAATAACATATATCGAAATGAACTTTGTATAGTTAAGAAGTTGAATAACTCCTCAAGTTTTCCGACTCACTAAATTCAATATATTCACTATTTCTATTCATCAAATTGGTACATTACATTTAGCAGACAAATTGACAACAAACAATAGTTATTTCAAATAGATAACGGTAATATTATAATACAAAACAAGCAAAGTCATACAACCTGTACCGCCAATCAATGAAAAAGTTCCCATTAGTAGTAACAGGAGTGGTAGTGGTAGCTCTCTTTAAGAAGATAGCTCATTTTATTCCGACCGGAAACTGATCCTAGTTTTAGCTTTAGACGATAACATGTACTTTCAGGCATTTCCGAAGCTTTTGCAAATCAAACGAACGGATAAAGAAATTACTGAAAAGAAACTGGGCAGATCGATAGTAAATACTGCCTGTTTTAGTTACCCCGTAAACAGCTTCATTGATTCTTATTTCTGCATGATAACACCCATCGTTCTGGTTAGCAGAAGGTGCACGCAACAGTATGTTAAGTCGTTTCGCTTCGTATCAAACTTTTTCTAAAAGTAAAAGAGAACGTTTCCTGTAAACGGCCAGAAAACGCTACTCTCTACCTTTCATCAGGCCTAGCCTTCTTTTAAATAAAGCCAGCTTATTCCAGTCCGTCATATAAGCCAATTAACCCTTTAAGCGGGTAACGTCATCTCCAACCGTGAGAATATAACTTACTCACTATCCATGTACACTTATATTGTAGTGTATACATATATGCATTACAAAGAGAATTTATATAGTTTTGCAAAAAATATAAAATATCACAGGGTTCGCTGCAGCTCTTTCAGGCTAGTTTCAACAGACACTAAGCAATTGCATGCCTTCTGTCAATGCCGTTTAGGTCCGTATCTATATTGGCCTTAGCTTTGAGAACAAACACCAGGAATGGTTACAAAGTGAGCTTAAGTAGTACTTAGACGTAAATGCGTAAACTTGTAACGATATGATATGAATTGTTTCACACTTAACACGTTTTTATCCGACGATAGGCTTTTTTTTTTATCATCACAATAGCTCATGTTCGCTAAAGGTTGATTATATGCTAAATGCTAATGAATTATAAAAGAACTTTCGAATCAGGGGGCATTCATGTTCCATGATTGATTCAAGTTATTCAAGGGCAAACGCGTGATGCGCAGTAATCGTTGTACATTAGGTATCCCTTATCTAGTCATGCATACCCACTGTCGAGTTCAATAGAGGACGCTGGCCGCTTTGATAATTTCGGATCCGCGAACTCCACGCCATTGTGACCGCCTGTTCGGACTCCGGGCACCGTCCGAGGCTTCCGAATAGAAATAGGCGCAATTTGACCTTGTGATTTGCTGAATACCGCCGAGAACGTGTCCAAATTCGGGTTGACATGATTTGGAAATTTTTCCTTAAATTTGACAACCAGACCCTCTCTGGCAACGGTGTATCAAATTTAGTATCGCTATATAAAAGGAGCGAACTACTTTTCATATGACCTAAGCGAAAACGTAGTCGCGTGAAGCAGTTGTTAGAGTATTTCTATTAAAGAGGGCATAACAAGCAAATAAAATGTTGTTGATAACATTTTTCTTTTTTATACAGATACACTTAGCAACATTAAGTGGCTTTCTTACGTTATATTTATCTTCACACTAAAAATTTTATTTGTACGTTATGTGACAGTCCATTCTGCCCTCAATTGCATCACATGAATTTCCAAGGCACGCTGCCGTTCTAGTCCCCTTAGCAACTTAGTAGTTAGTTAATACTTACCGTGTAAGTAAGTCCTACTCACTTTTGTTTGTTGTTATTGTTTGTGTCGATATGCGGCGATGAGACCGCTCGTCGTATAGTCGGTATATAGCGAAGTGAATTACGAGACAGCGTTTTTCTAGAGGATACTGCGCCTCGACCCCCGTCTGAACCATCGTTACCATTTACATCTGGTGACACCGTAGCGCGTTTTCTTGGTGCCCCGCGAGATGGGGTCCGCGAGCGATTGGCCACTACAAAACAGCGATAGGTTATGTGAACGCCAGTTACACCGTGAATCATGCACCAGAGAGCTTGAAGAGCCGTTAGAGTGGGACCGTTTAGCGGTCCTAATCTAGCTAGATATCTTTGTGTTTACATAAGGTTAGACACTATCGCAATAAAGACTTTCGAGTTTCAGTTATCGTACGCTTATAAATATACATATTTATGCATGCTGTGAACAATAGCTTTTTGTCATAGTTACCTGTGTTGTTATTGTTAGTTGTTATGACCGGCTTTTCTACTATAGCTTGTATGGGTGCTTTTTTGTTCAGTGTCCTTCGAACCAGCGCAGGTTGTTTTGGGGACTCTAATTTGTGTTTCGGTTGTCCACCACGTGGCACACTGGCCGGTTTTCGTTGAATAAGTGTGCCTGTCGATTGAGAAACGTGCACCGCTTTTGACGAAAGCGTTTCTGCCTCAGTACCGATAAGATCGTTGCGACGGATGCGGGCTCCCTATAAATTTGCGGTGTTTCGTAACGTAAGACCAAAGGCCATCTCAATTCGTTGCCAATATTTTGTGCATCACTTAACTTATTTCGAAAATTTTCACCAAAAATATACCATCGTATATATCTGTTTAAATAGATGAATAAAGACTCTATTGTTGGCATTGACGGCAATAACGACGACGGCGGTGGCGCCACGCTATGGTAGCGGCATTAGTTTGTTGTTGTGATCGTTTTCAGTATCGTCTGCTATCGGACTCACTGGTTTCTTGTTTTTCTGCTCATTTCCACTCCGTTGCGTGAACACCTCGTGAGCATTATCAACATTATTGTCCAAAATAATAGCTTCTCTCCGCTTTGACTTGACGTCGAATAGTTGCTTCGGTCTGCTTTTCGACTTCTGGCAGATGGGCGTATGTCTCGCCTAACATTGATGTGACGGTGACGGGTGCGCACAAAACGGCCACATAATTGACGGCGGAGAAATCGAAAAGTAAAGTTAAATAGTAATAATAAGCGGCAAAGGTCATTTGACAAAGCAAAATCACACTAATCGTGATCACATAAGGATACACGCAACGATATACGACGCTACTCCTGAATGAATTATAGTAGATATAATACGCTTTGCGTCGCGCCACGTACATTGTGACCATTGGAAAATTGCTTATTGGACCATTGGAATTAGACACACCTCTTAAACGAGGGATGCAAAAGATAGTAAAGGATGGATTCTTCGGGTCAACATGGAATTACATTTACTTATTATCTTCTCTTTAACGATTCCAAAGCCGTTTAGGATAGTTGGACGCTGTGGTGGAATCCTACACAAATAACCAGAAATACGTAAAGCTAATGCCAATATTAGTCAGGTTCGGGTTATCGCTATGGGATATTTTTATAGCCATGCAGCATAACAACAAATCACATATATGATGGCTCGTTCGGTTGAAAACAGTTTAATCTGTGCCGAACACCACGTATTCGAAAACCTAGGAATTGTTAGTCACGACACTGCATAGATAATCCAATGGTCGCATAACATATAAGTCATAGATACATTACTGTTTTTAGCATGAACACAATGTTAAAAAAATGCGTATTTAAGCTATAATAACTAAAAGACGTTTGTTTCGTGGATGCAAAACAACGACAATTTGCAAAACAACAATTTTTTTTTATCACGCCTGTGCTAAGTAAGCCTGTGTAAGGCCCAAGTACAATGGAAAAGATCCTATTCAACGAAAAGCTGTTATGTCTAAATCTCAAGTTCGATTGAAGTTAAATTAAAAACGATAATTGGCGATGCGAATTTCTAATTTGCTTGAGGTTTCACTTGAGTGTTACTTATTCATACGTTGAATTTATTACTGAACTGCTTTTTATATAACTAACACCAATTTGTCTAGACACTCACATGCAAACGCATGTTTGTCATCCATTGAATTATCGATATCATGCAAAGATTAAACCAGTATTTCCCTTGTTATTATTATTATTATTATGCAATATAACCCTCGTTTATGCTCTTGATTAAAAATTATGCTTAGCCGGTAAGTAGGAAGAGCTCCAACTGTTCTGATTGTATAGAGCCGCTACAATGAGCCCCTCAGGGAAACAGAGTGACGTATGGAAGGTGTAGACAAGGTACATTCGACAAGCTCAACTCAGGACCATAAATAATACTAATTTATTCCTAGCGAATATATGTATATATTCATCATAGTTAGCTGAACCGGGGTAACAATGTAGCTTTTTGTATCGAATGGACTTTCGGATTATCTCGAACGGAATTCATCTATAAAGCACCGCTTGTATCGATTGACAGCCCCCCGAAGTGCGCATGTCAGCGGAGGTAAGGAAGGTAGATTTAAAAAAAAAAAAAAAAACCTAATTTCAACCGAAGTTACGGAGTTTCCCTAAATCAGCTTTTGTTGTTCACTGCAGATAGCAGCAGCAGCAGCAGTAAGTGGTTAAACGCTAGCCCTGAATTTCATTATCATATGAAAGGCAACACGTCACCATCTTGATTTGGGAATATCTGCAACACCCTCCTTACATAAATTGGGATAGAGCTTCCTTTGCATATTCATTCATTTCTTGAAACTATCTTAATTTTAAGAAACGACGTAATTATGATCAATATGCTCAGTACTAAGCCGAGCCTTGCAAGAAGCATACACATGCTATGTCTGGTTCATCAGCTTGGGTCCCATCTTTTGATCTCTCGGTGGTGTCCTGATTCATACACATGGGAATACCTTACTTAGTCCAATGCCAATTTGACAGCTGATACCGTACGCTGTGCTCTTCACAGACTTCAGAAATAAGAAGATGGATCATTCTGATCATAATACATCTCTCTGTCTCTTTCAAGTGATTCGCCAGCCAGCCAGCCAGCCAGCCAGCCCTCAAATAGTAGTGGATGGTAGGGAACGATAAGAGGCGAAAATCTCTATTGCCGATTTCAGGTGATTTCAATTCGGTTACCTGACGTGGCACCCTCGAGAACTAGAAACGCATTTCCCACACAGATCCATCGAGAAAAATGAATGAAAAAAGCATCAAAGAAAAATACTCATTCGCCACCTCCTTAGAATAATAGCACTGATTGACAACAACCAACCGCGCATTAGACCTGCCCTCTGGCGGGCTCGTCACTAAATTATGATTCGGTCACACGCAAACGCCTTGTCGATAACGATGTGAACGATTTTTTTTAACTTGAAGTTACAAATCGCTGCTTTGGCTATAAAGCTCCCAAGCCGAAAAGTATGTATAGCATAGAACGTCGTTTCACTTTGTGTGAAGCAATGTAAAATTGAACGTAACCATTTCTAACGTAACCATATGGCACCCAACTGAAATAGTACAGTCATCAATCAGGACGATCGTCATAATTACGAACCCGCTTTGAAAATCAACTTTCGGTCTGGGCAGATCCATCGTTGGGGGGGGAAAGTAACGTTTTTATTAGTTTTAAGAAGTATTAGATCGATGACAATCGCTATACTGACCCTTGTTACAAGCCTGTTATAACAGGAAGATATTGTTTGAAACCCTGTTTTTTTTCTTTCTTTCTTACTTGCCGATCTCCAATATATGCGTCTCGCCTTGATTATCTATTGTCTGCACTAAGTCATAGGACTCAAACAGGACTCACCAACGCTTCAGGCCAAAACTTTCGCCCACATGTTCCGCACGGCATAAGCTTATGGGCGACGTCCTCTGGAACATAACAATTGTACGCGCTGTTTTATTCTATTCGACGTTTAGAAAGAGGCCCACCGAACGAAAAAGTTTACCGTCTGCTAACATCTTCGTATCTATACCACGACATACTGCAGCTCCACGCTTGGAGCTACTTTATGTGCTGATCTTTAAACAACCTATATCTGAAAAAAGTCCCAATTAAAATAGTCACGCGAGACCCACAGTTTAGTTACCTAAACTCATCGTGTAGTTACTGTAGTAAGTGTCTATCGAATAAGTTGTACAGCTAAATAATAGTTTGACAATAGTTAAACCAATTGAATTTATTCCATAAATTCATGTGATAATAAATTGATTGACCGTTCTAGCCTGCTTTCCCTGCTGCCTAGAAATAGTTGGGCCTGAGAAATGGGTGGGTAATAATACCACACGCTAACTTGACCGAATGAGCGATTGATTTCGCTTCTACAGCAATATCATTATTATTATCTAGTTCTTTTTAGTAGTTAAAGCACTAGGCAATAATTCGTTGCAACTACACGCTTAAAAAAACGTAAGGCTCATTGTGGTAAGTCGTCACAAGAAGATCCGTACAGACGTGAAGAAGACAAGGTTCGGCGATTCTAGCTGCGTTCGGTTCCTATACAGAATTAGATGGACTATTATTGATCAGAGCGAAGGATCTTGCAACATGCTTATTCACTAGTTATTCTAGTGGATGTAATGGCGCGCCGTCGGTGACGCGTATATTGTCTGTGCACAGTACCACACTTGCTAACCTATAATAGACTGTGCCGTTAAGTTCAGACCGCAAATTTAAGATTTAAAGTTACGCCATCGTTTAGGTATAAGGGTCCTAAAAAGCATCGACGTCTAAGAAGTGCTTCCAATAAGTAAGTATTGTGTACAACGATCGCAAGCCGTAATTAGCTCTTTCGGGGCCACACTAATTACGTCTACTGTCTAGAAGAAAAACGAAAACGAGCGTACCGATGATGATAATGATAGTTTAAGTCGAACGTTAGAGTATCCAAACGATCTCTTCCGTTTATGGTATAAGTTACTCTCGTACTGCCTCTAACTAGCTCGTCGGGCTCGATTTCCAAATCAACGACTCGTCTATCAGAGCGTTAACAACGAATATCTGTCGCTCACCTGCAACTGCACTTCCCCGATTCGGGCCGCTGCTGTCTGCTATCAACCCCCCAACCGAACTGCTCTAACAATCAATCATCAGAACTGCGTTTATTTCTATACATTAACTCGCGAATCCGGAAGCACATTTCCTAAGGTACTTAACTGTCTTGAACGTTTGCTCACCAATGACTCGAGCTCGAGGAGCGAATTGCGCGTCTTTCACCCCTCTTACTACAGAGAGTCAGTGTCTTATTTGCTTGTTCTTCAATCTTTATCTACCTCCTCACTAACTTATTGTTAGCTAAAAGTTCGGGAAAGACTTCGCCTACGGCCTCTAACAACTTCTGCTACTACCACTGGAATAGTGCTATTATCCAATGATTCACGGTTGAATAGTTTAAGAGATAGAAGAATTCTTTAACCAATTAGAGGGAATCTTAATTCTAACCCCCAACTTTGACCGCTTGTGAAATCACACACAATCGAAAAGCAAAGTGTTTAGTGTCAAGTGTCCCCCATTAACGATGCCGATAATCGGCATGATGGAGCTTTATGTTGGTTTGGTTCTCCTTGGTACTTACCTATCCTAGGTGAATTATCAGCTTCACCGTCGATCGGCATATCGGCGGGACGTGCAGATCCTGCGAGAACGAACTTCACCGCCACGAAACGCAATGGGTTGTCGTTTGTGTCAAGACGGTTGCCTTAGAAACCCGCCGAAACGCAGCAGTATCTGAGCGCGTTGCTTAATGAATGTGATCCGCTACGACCGAAGGTGGCCAGTCGGCAAACGAACATGGGGCGAACTAGATCGAACGGTGCGCACGCCCGTCTGCTCGCAACTTCAGCCTACTCTATTACAGGGGTTGTTTAACTGCCACTGCTATTCCACGCCGTACCTGTATCGAGCGAATAGAATAGGCCTTACTCCGCATCGAAGCCCAGCTGTCCACGACTAGGTCTACATGAATGTATATGCACATACGGATGAAGGAGAAGCGAGCAGGACGGTATCGCGTGTATCACAGATATCTTGTCTAGTTGAAGTTAACATACAAAAAATAGAGAGAAAAACTGAGCTGCTAGCAGTGTTGACAATGTACCGTATATATATATATATATATATATATATATATATATATATATAATGAGAAACTGCTGAATTTGTCTTAGTCAGCCAGATATTAACTGTTTAAGAAAGACTGTAGAACCTTTTGTCCAATGTTAGCAGTGACCGTAATAGTAAATCTGAGGCCGTGACCATTAATAGCGGCTATCTCGAACTAGAGAGGACGGTGTCGTTATCATTGTGATCGTACCATATTGGCCGCCATTGTTGAGTACAACAGTTTCGCAGTCAAATAGGCAGATATATACTACCGTTTTGCAGCTTAGTTGCAACGAGTTCAGTAGATTTCTGCTTTCAAGGCTATAAGTGTAGAACTTATTTCGTTCCGAAGAGGTTTTCATAGGCGTGTGCATCGGTGCAAACATACTATTATATGTATGCTTGATTTTTTTTAAGTCGCCACTGTTGCCATCGAGACCGCATTGGTAACGAAGATCTAATCCGATAGGACTGCCCGGGTCAATTTTTCAGTACAGCCGTTATTAGCAGCGTTTTCTTTTATCATGCCTGAAAAAGTTTCAGTAATTTAGCCTCTGCGACATACACTGCGGCAGAACAAATCGATGAGTGAGTAGATTTTCTGTTTGTCAATAATCAAACGCTGCTGTTGTACCTGCAGCAAATCCTATAGAGTAGAGAAGAAGAAGAAGAAGATACTGCATGGAACAGAGCCGGTTTCCGGCCGGTCAGGCGCTCGCGCTACGGAGCACCAAATGGAAATATTACAGCTCCGGCCGAAGCCCAGAACGCCCAAAGGGGCGTTTCACACGCTTCTAGGAATATCGACGGACCCCCGCTAACCTCTATCTTGACATGAAGTCACCATCCCTTTCCCTTCAACAGTTCTCTATTTACGTGAACGGGTTTACGCCGGTTGTTTTTCCCGCTAACGATAGAAGGATGCTTATCATGGCCTCACAGGCGAAAACCCTGTGACCATGGTCTAACTTTCCACTGGGCCTGATCCAGACTCAGCGAAAAAATAGTGCTCGTAACCTAACGCCAAGGTCTCTCCCCCACATATTTTTCCCCTTACCCATGAGCTATCCCACTTACCGGGCGCTTCACCTACTAAAGACCTCCTACTAAGGACTTACTAAGACTAACGACTAGAAGATAAAGGATAATTTTTATCGTCGTCGCTATCGTTGCTCGTGGTGCTTACGTCGTTAGGGTTGTTGACCACTGCGCTTTAACATCTTGAGGGGGGGGGGGTTGAGTCTTCTAAGAGATGTAATGATTTTAGTGGAATTTACCAATGATGGAATCCAGATCGATAATATTATGGTTTGCCTTTGATAAGAATTCGTTGCCAAGAAACATGGGCTGCGGTACAGCATAGGTATTTATGTCTCCTTGCCGGACGCAAATCGGACTCAATGAGGAGCCGAATATTTAATAGGTCAAAAATGACTAAACTTCAAGGATACATATTGCAGAGTTTACGTTTAACATAACATTCTACCTCGATGAGGATGAGTTTCAAATGTTTAATAGTAAACAAACGTATTTCAGCAGATTTAAAAACTGCGCGCCACATACATCAATCTTATCAGAACTAAAGTGTCGTGTCGACAAAATAGCTGATCTTGATTGCTGCAGGAGTATGGTGGACAAGTCGCAAAATATAATGTAATCGGAGACTCTAGTTGCAAAAGGGACCCGGTGATTCTTCGGACCGCGTTTAACTTACACTGCTTCATAGACATTTTGCTAATTTTGACAGCATCGACGTAGGCCATACAAAAAAATAAAATCGAGGTTAAGAAAAATGAAGACAGGTTACTGATAAGCATTGCAAGTAGTATTATGTTTCAGTGAACTGAGAACGAACCAGTACGTTCTTGGTTTTGCAGAAAATTGCTGAGCTTGCGCTGGGTATAGAAGTCCAGATCACATGTTTGTTTATCCCAAATTGAATCTATTTCTTTACTACGGTGATGGAGTGTCTCTAAAAATGCTATTTAAGAATTGAAGTGGAGCTGAGCAACGCAATACTATTAGTTTGTAAAGAACGCAGCCAAAACTACCACCCGTTTTTTTCTACATAATTGATGCTTTCCTATACTGCCATGACGTTATCCTTTGTCTACAATGGGAAGAAAATAAAAAATGTACTGATTCTTTTTTCCCTTCCCAGTGTTAGCCATCTAGTATAGATCCCCTTTTATCAAGAGCATTAAGATGTTCGGTACCCTTTTCATTTCCTCGGACGTTCGTAGCCGCCTCAGCCCAAGCAGTTTCAAAAAGAGATGAAACCCCATGGCCAAATCGAAGAACCAGCAGAATTTCGAAGGATCAGTTTGGAAACTTAGCTACAAAAATGTGTACGATACTTCAGCCATTGTTAGTCCAGTTATAGTCAAACGATGTCCGCTACGCAATACTGAGAAAACGACGTTGTATTTAGACATATTGTTTTTGCCACTGTCCATATATCATCATCAACTGGCAGCACATGCGAGTGATTGACCGACCGTTTCCCTCCGCCGCACTCGAGGACCGAGACATCATAAATCCCGTAATCACATTACGGTGCTAAAAGCTTTGGTAATTTTCCGTTATCATTATTACACGTATGCGTCTTTGTGTAAAGTAGTTATAATTTATGAGATGGTGGATGTTATGTGTCGCGAGATGCTGGGGCAACACAACCGTGTTTGTCGTTAAACGGACCGGTAAAGGATATCGGAGATCTGTTTTTTCAATTTGTCTATTAATATGCCGTTCATTTGCTAGCGAGCTTTCGTCTTCTATAGTTTTTGGCTCCTCAGGATAGATCTTAAATACCCTTTTTATCTATAATCAATTGTGTCATTACACCTATACCATCGATACCTAACACATACAAAAACAAGACTATGCTGTCGTATCGCACAACTTTTATAATTTCAAAAATGGGTTTGTTGAACGCAATGAGCCTTGTTCACCCAGTTTGTAATTCCAAAAGTTCTAGGTTGCTTTCTCGCTATTCGCTATTACGCGCAGAGACTCGCGCCTTTAAGTTTTATTTCGATCGGGCAAAATTAGTGCCGAAATATACGTTATTGCCGCTGACGATAATACCCATGCGTCTATTTATTTGAGTGAAATCGGCTTTCAGATTGATATATTAGATCCTAATGTAATTACCGATGTTCTTTGTTGAGCAAAGGATTGCCAGCGTTCACTAGCTTGCCTTGTTTCTATTAACTTTTGCCTTTCGCACCTTTCCAAAACGAAACAAAATAATTTAAATTTCCATTAGCCTTTATGACTTTTGCTTCTGTTTTGTCTCACCTAATCCTACACACAATTGCCGCTATGTGATGATTAAACTTCGGTTGGTCGAATTTCTCTGGCGAGGGTAGCGGGTAGACCAGAGACAGCCTAGATATTGCGGCAGTGACACAGAACCTGAATCGGGTGAAGTAAGGGAAATCAATTTCTTCCTCCCTCGAGGGCTATTTCGATCGTGGTCATCGAGGATCGTAACGGCAGAAATGGTAGGCCAACCCAAAGTTATAGACCCAGTTAAGTCCCTCGCCGCCGCCGCCAATTCATTAGCAACTATTTAGTATTGTTCAGCTGCCGTCGGTTAAAATAGCAAATAGTATCGTAGTCCATCTTCGGTTCCATGTCCGTCCGCTTAGCCGTCCCACGACATTGACGAACGATGTAGTTGCTTCTTAGAGATAGGTAGGCGGTGAGATCATGCTGGTCAACTTTGGGCAGCAATGACGGTTCGGCACGCTATCGGTCTTTCCATGAGGATTCTCAGGTTGACAGACACGAACGTCTGCCCGTCTTAATGCGTTACACAAAATGGCGTCGCTAGTTGTTACAGTCGTGCAACAAGACGTCCCTTAGACAATAGTAGAAGCGCCAGGCTCAGTCGTTACTGGCGGTAACATTGCCCTCAACCACACTCGTCTACTGGCTACTTAGATCATGCATTTACCACAGCCACCGCTAGCGCCGACGTCGTCACCATCACCTCCCTGGACTTGCCCTCTGGGGTTAAAGGCTGGCGTCTCTGATTCCAAGCGAGAGGTGGCCAGCACGTGATGGTGGGACGAACAGCGACAGATTGGCCATAAAGCTGAGACATGGTCGTACCGCCAAGAGGGCAGCAGCTGACGACATAAACTGCTGCTACTAATGTTAGAACCGCTGATAGTGGATACCTGTAGCAGATGTAGCCCGGCCTTGCTGTCTTGCCCCTTTCTGCAGATAATTGGCCTCGCTAGCAATGAAACTGCGCTTTTTTTTGCAAAAGACATAGCAGCAGGTTAAACATCGTACGTCGTCTGCTTTCGCCTACCTTGGAGCTAACAGAGCACTTTTTCTATGGCTCCGATTTTGTGATCGTCTTTGTCGTCGCTACCGTCACCTTTACCAGCCGCATCGCTACGTTGTCGATTCACGAAGCTACCGCTGCAATATAATCAATTATTATTATTAGTAATGGACGATGTGAGTCCAAAAATGGTCACCTGCGTAATTGTTATATCACTATACCACGTTATATCGTCAACAATCTGAAGGGCTGTTAAACCAACATTATCAGATCCCTGCAGCGACCTCGAAGGAAGCTAAATTTGTATAGCGAAGAGGTTCGACTACCGGAAGGTGCGTGACGACCTAGCGAGAGTTTTAGAATGAGTCATAACTAAATTATATGCACAGGCAACACATAGATAGGGAAATATTACAAAACAATACAGATAGGGTTTCGATGCGCAACCAGATTATAGCGACTGTACAAAAATTATGCGGAGAAAACTACATATAAGCTATACATTTGCGTTGCGTACGGTGAACGTTACTATGTTTGTAATACCAATAATAACAACTTGTGTCAGGTTATAATGAAAAAAAATTCAGCTCGCAGTGTTGGACCTTTATAAAGCTTGCGAGCTGTCTGCCAAGAAACGCGACGATTTCAGGACAAAACAGAACAGAACAGAATTTCTACAGGAACATAAAATAATCGTTTGATGCAAAATTGTTCGTTCATTTCTAATATCTTCTTGTTCTTCATGGAAATAAATTCGTAATAAGATAGAGAGTAACGCATTATAGGCGGATAACGTAACCTTCATCAACCGTCTGCATCTAGGCTGGAAACAATAAGGCAACTTCATTCCGTTCAACCATTTAGACCTATCTATGTCCTATGCACACGTATGGAGCAATCTGCAATGCATTGATGCCCTTCCAGATAGATAGATCCAAAATTAAGACAACACTGTTTCTCCGAGGAACAGCATCTTCTTTAATAATAATAAAGGCTTTTCCTGTCATACTACGTACGTGTTCACGTATTTACAACTGTGCGGTTTGTAACTCCAGTCTTGAGGCAAGGTGCAACTTGATCATAATATATATGTATATACGTTTAAATAACAATCCCTAATTAACAAATCCGTCGCTTTATATAACTCGTACCTTCGTATGCTTGTCTTCCTCGAGGACATAGCCCCACACATCATTCGAACCGTAGCCTTATCGGAATTAATTGAGATCTACTGATGCAATTTCCTTTTCTTAAAGGAGCTCCATCTGCCTTTCCCTTTCCACAGGGTGTCAGGGTACGTTACTTGATACGCTCGTTCAGCGTTTGTTGGTACCATCATACCTTGTACAACACTGTGCCGATGTGTCACAGGGCCCTCCCTTTCCTTTTCTGTGTTATGTCGGCAACTGTTGCTCTTGCTACAACAGCAGCAACCTTTTCGCAACAACGGCCCCACAGTTGCCCACCGCCAGAAAGTCACGTGATCGGCGCTATCTGTCTATTTGTCCAAATAGAAAAACAACGCAAGGCAAACTAGGCCTGCTCCCACTCAGGACGCGTAGATCGGCAGGCAGGCGTCTGCTCACCTTAAACCAGCGTAGATGTGGCGTCAAGCCTTTTTACCGCTTTAAGCCAATACATAGGATACAATCAGACTAGCAAAATATGCGAACGAAAAGACAATGGCTGCATTTGTTAGTGGCGGAGAGAGAGAGAGAGAGCGAGAGAGAGAGGGGAGAGGGAGGGAGAATGGCGCGCCAGTCGTGTTGGATACCAACAGACAGCCCGCTGCTTCGGAATGGTGGTCGGCTTTCCTCACCACCCCAGGACAAACTCCTTAGGCCACGACCAGGGGGCGCTGGCAGCCAGGTCCACTACAAACGTAGTTGTCGAATTATCACGTACTTCGCGTATTGCACGAATTTTGTCGTCTGAGGTAATCTGGTGACAGGGATATTGAGTGACAGGTTGACACTAGCTAGCAAGCGAAACAAATATTAGCTAATGAAATTAGGGTCTCGTAACAGGAATCGAAGTAAACATTAACTGAAACAAAAATTGACCAAAAAACGACTAAAAAATACATCGATCCCTCGTAAACTGTGCGCTAATTTTATTTGCCGTCAAAAAAACTTTACCGATCGCTTAGTGTTCGTATAGTAGAATATACATTTGACATGGTTGTCGCCTACAGTGGATAGACATAAAATTCGATTGCAGCAAGACATTTGATGTTTTTACGAAAATTTCTCTTGAGTTTTCTGTTGGCCTACTTAAGGTAGGCGCGCTGAACAGCATAGGGTACGTGGTTGAAATTGCACAGTGTGTGACGGCGACATTTATACATACCGAGCTAGGGTGCAAATATCTATTTTTACTTAGCCGGACTTCCATATACAGTTTCTCTACGTACGTGTTTTTTTCCTTCATCGGTTTAGAAGTCAGATTGTTCAATGCGTCCGTAAGCAGCAGCAGCGACAAGGTACCTGCTTAGTATCTACATCGCCAGAAATGTATCAGTGTTAGTACCATTCTGCCTCAAACCAGCCGATTGTCAACTGGCACCGTTCAATGACATTGTGTTGTCTAAATTGATTGGTAAAAAAACCAATTCGAATATTTTTCTGTTCAATAATGTAACTATATAATTACGGTAAAAGTAATAATATTCTTAGCAAAAAAGAGCTAAATTCAATTTTCCAATAGTCTGCTAACTGTAAAATGAAACATAAGTACAATAAATGGCGAGACTGCTAAAAAATAATGCCTCACTCATGGTATTGGCGTAACATGAATTTCATTCGGAAAACATACAAGGCCTGCGTGCGCTCCAGGACTCTTTTGAACAAGTCGGTACCTGAGCGACTCAGGTAACGAATAGGGCTTTAGGCAATTTTTTAACCAATAGAATAGGATAATACACTCTACTCATACGTGGCTAAATATGGGCGGATATGGGTAGTATTTAAAGGGTACTATATACACCATAATAAATGCATTTTAAACGCGAATGCTGGTACTGCAGGCAATCCAATTTGCCCTTGTGACGATATTGTGAGTATACGACAGCGTCGCTATCTTCGATGTCGATAACTACTTTCCTCCTGTTCTCTCGATCGTGATATAAGCAACAGCTGATGATCCTTATTACCTGACAATATTACTGAAGTATTACGTCTGAAGTGTAGATTCATATAAGTTACATGTGGCACGACTATATTTACCAGTTATTTCAATCGTTAGTCAGCAAAGACTATTTCGATTCGATTAGATGGGTCTTCTTTCGGACACCCAAAGGGGGCAGTCGCGAGGCAGGAGCAACAAATCTCGAAGGGATGATGTTGTAAAGTGTGTCGCTTGAAAGGTTTCCACGGCGTTCGCTACCACAGCCTGGTCCGCGTCAGGACGCAGCCTAGTCTACTAATCACTACGACATTTCGACGAGCCTACCTCATAAAGGTACCATTTTAGATGGCATACTGCCAATAGCTCTTTCTGATAGTCTTTTTTTCTGGTTTACTCTTCCGTCAGCGGGTATTTTGTCGTCTGACATCTGAGTCTTGACGATGACGGTACGCTAGCTTAATCAGCCATTCAACTCTATAGGCTAGGCCTATATAGTTTTTCTACAAATGCACCCATTTGTATGCTGCTCTGGCACGTTCAAAGCTGTAAAGAAAAAATGGGAAAAGAGAGGTGGATATATTGCTTCAGCCTTCCTAACATCTCCTTCGACGGCAAACAAAAGAGCAATGGAGCGGCGTGGAGCCAAACAAGAGCATCAAGGATTCAACAACACTACAAATACTGAGTAAGCCTCCTAGCCGAGAAACAAGCTTCGTAGCCGAATGAAGGCTATTACAACAAGAGTCCCTTCAGTTTTCAGTAATCGCTGACTGGTTAGAAAGTAATTTAGGTAAGGCGTCTAAAGTACATGTGTCCAACTCACAGCTCATCGTTAAGAAAAATTTGAACCGGGCACGATGTTTACAGGGAATACGATCCAGGTAATTTTATCGAATCCTAGGAGATTCGTATCTTAGATAAATACACGCTTAGATATGGATAAAGAGTGCGCTCTTTAATGAGTTGTCATTTTCTATTTACAAAACATTAAAGATAACTTCAGTTCTTATCATTACCATTGAATACTTTTAAACTCTACTTACGCAGAAATACTTTACTACTGAAATTATCTAATTAACGTCTCCCCTTTTCCCACCTGAGCAACCCTAAACCGATAACAAGCTAACTCCTAGTAAATAATTATTTCTATAGGAAACAAAGCCAGTGCATCACGGCAAATTAAATGCCTCTTGCCGCACCTATTTGTGTGTGCCTATAGGGTGTTCGATTGTTGTCTATGAGGTTCAATTAATTCGTTTTACGTGTCAGTCATTATATGTGTGTGCTGCCATCGCCGCCTTTGCGACAGCGAAGGTGTCGGTACCCCCGACCTTGGCGGACGTTAGGCCTCATGCCCTCCTCCATTTGGGATTTCTCTTAGAGCGCGCCCAAGTGACAGCGGCGGCGGGAGCAGCAACAGCAGCGGCGTCCTTGCCGCTTGGTGCCTACCTGCCCTCCCTCCGCCATCTCTGGTACATTCTATACGATTTCGACCCCCCCCCCCGTCCCCTTCCGAACGGTGCATGCCCAACCCACGACACCAGTCTGCTAACCGGCCTCAAAGCCGCGCCTGTCCATTTGACTGCTCAACTAAGGCGTTGTGGCCTGCCTCTACTAGCACCCGTTGAGTCCTGTTGCTTCTGGCCCACCAGCACCCTCTCCGGCTGCTGACAGACGAAGTGTGTCACGCTGTTGGGATCAAGTGCTCCTAACGCACGCTGCTAGGATTTGTTGACCTAAGGCTCTGATGGGACAGCGTTTGAATGAATTATATGACGTTAGCAAAGTGACTGTTTAGCTAGTCTCATCAGTTGGCCTGCTGTCGATTTGCTTCGGAAGCAAAGCATGAAGTGACGATGAAGGTTGCGAAGGTCGACCTAGACCCCAGAAAATAGTGATGGTTGAAGCGCCATAGCTGACAGACCGATTCAGTGAGTGGATACGTGTTGGACGACAGATGAGATACTACTGTATTATTGTTGCTGCTGTTACGACTAATTTTGATTGACGGATTTAGCGTTTTAGTAACGCATTTGGCCTGCGCAGGCGAATCACTGTCCTTATCTACACCCAGTGAGGACTCAAGTACTGTGTGTCTTCAAGCCGCGATCTTTTATAGTTAATGACGATAGGTGAGTCGTACCATACGCTACGCTTTTCACCAACTCCTTAATCAGATCTTGACGAGAGATATCGCCAAAACCAATCGCAGGAGGCTCAATGACTTGCTAACTTTCCACAATGGTGGACCTCACAGTGAACTATAACGATACGCACATGCCAGCCATTGTCATCTTCGTTTGTGCCATGTACTCGATTCAAGCGTACGTCACTATCGAGCCCCAATCCTGAGTCATCGGATAAATCGTTGCTTGAGTGGCTCTGTCTCCCTTCACTGTCAGCTTCTTTCTGGGTTCGATTACAAACGACGCCTATCGTTTCGATAGCTGGCTTCTGGCAGCGGTACATCGCGTTCCATTTAAGGCATTCAACTTATTAACTTCAGATGGGAGTTCTTAGAAATTCTCTCTTTCGTCTTCTGTGAGCGTCTGCCATACCGAAGCCTTCACGCGGCTAGCCGCTTACTATTTCTTTGATCCTATGCGAAAAGTATTCGTTATTAGTTAGAACTACAGTTCTTTTCGACCAAACACGAATACAACTGTAAGAAATAAACAAACAAACTCGACCTAATACTAAGCGCATTGCGTTTATCATGCAGGATCACGCGATTGCACCTCACATTGCATTTACGACAATAGCCAATACGCCTTTGCATTCGCGGCTAAACAAGACGTCTTCGTGATGCTTTTTTGGACGCAGTTTGATCTTCACAGCCTGTTTACTTGTACCCTTGCGCGAGCTCTATTTCTGTACCCCTAACGAGCGCCTTTGTCACCGGCCGTGGTTCAGCAACACAACCTGTATAGTACGATCTGTTAACCCAATTCCCGAGAAGGTGTGTATCCATTTAGATACATAATTAACTAAATTAATAGGCCCCAGTTTTATTTATTTCGTGAAAGGCAATCCCGCCGTATTGTGTCAGAAAGCATTTCGACGTCTCGGCTTCGTTAAGCAAAAGCTGCCATTCTACCTCTCCTCCAGATCTCGTAAGACGTCGTAAACGGATAGTGCCTCTGGAGCCTGCAGGCCCACAAGTCCTAAGGTGGCTTCTGAGACGTTCAGTCACTACACCTTCCCCTTAGATAATTGTATATTGTTGTCGTACGACTTCTATCTACGACTGCTTGGACAGAAGCGAACACGTTAGCAGCGGTTGTCATCGATTCCGCACAGACGGCATCAAAGTCCGCTGTCTTATCATTTCTACCGGCGGTTATGGTGAGTCCGCATCAGCCAAGCTCAAGTCAGAACGGCAACAGGAAACAAGGACGCCCCCGGAAGTCGGGTCTTTCAGGTCTATTGCAACAAGGACATCAGAATCTGCGTCGTCATTGAGGTCACTATCAACAGCGCCATCATCACGAACACAAGCGTCAACATCAACGATATTAACATCAAGGGTTGCTGGTGTCGCCGGCAGCGACCGCAACACCACCATCAAGTGTAGCAGCGACGGCCGCAGCTACCGAAGGCGAGCGGCGGCACGAGACGAGCCGCTACTAGGAGAGTGCAGCGAGAGAAACATTGCCGCTGCCACCGCCGCCGTCGTCGTCATAGACAGCAGAGGGGACCACAGCCAGAGTATTAACTCGGGCACTAACAACATCGCGATACCGACGATCATCGCCACGATCGGCAACACCGCAAAGAGGATCACCCGACGCAGCAGCCGTCGCAACATTACACCAGTCGCGCTAGTCGCGAATACGGCCGAAGTAGCAGCAGCAGCGCCAGGTACCGCCGCCTCTTTTGCAGCCAGAACGCGGCGACGGCCAGGGTGAGTGCCGCCAGTGTAGTTGCCGGTGGCGCCGCCGCTGCCGAGAGCAGTGGAAAGAAGGTCGGACTGGCGGTGAATCTCTACGTACAACTGGAGAAAGAAAAAACTCAGGGCGAATAGAATTCAGCAGAGTTCGAGGAAGACAACAGCTGCACGGATATTAGAGACCGTAGAGCAAAACCAGGAATACTTGAAGAAAGGGCACCGAACCTATCATTGTTGATAGCACCGTCTCGGGAGGGTTGCCGCCAATAACAACTTGTGGAAAGAACGCCGTCCGAACAAAAAAATACCCAGAAAAACTCTACCGCACAAAGGAAAACAAAACACTACCATTTGCCCAGTGCTGGGAGTAGGTGGCAAGTTGACCCACTTCTAAAGTCATCGGTGCCATCATACAATTGCATACGGACAGTGCGTCGGAAACAACAGGAGACAGGATTTCAACTGAAGCCCGGTTAGGGCAGAAGTCACTGATGAAGAGCCAGGATAGTGCGGGTGGAACCCGCTACGAGCTCGCCTATGATGGCAAAGGAGAACTCGTGTATGATGATCAGGAAGCTGGACCCCTGCCCGCCAAGTGCGTGCCTGGCGACTCCGAAGAAGAATTGCCGGTCCGCGGCAACTGGGGGGGCAAACTCGATTTCATCTTCGGTTGCGTCAGCTACGCTGTCGGACTCGGCAACGTTTGGCGATTCCCGTACCTTGCCTACGAGAATGGCGGTGGTAAGTGCGTTTCATCCAGCGAACAAATACCATCACTGTTTTCAATATCATGATGATAATTATTGCTACTGATACCACTGCATCTTACAATTTTTGTTCATTATTTAAGATGGCTTATCTACAATTCGAATAAACATCTTCTGTTCTTGCCTTGTGATTAAATGTTAGGGGATACGCATGTATATATATACATACATACATACATACATACATTTTTTTTATGGGGAGAAGAGTAGACAACGAAGTGCGATGGCCAGCCATGTATATTGCAAGGGTTGAACGTTTCAAACATGTTGCATTATCCAAGTTGAGAAGACCTAGAAGTCGCGCATAAGAGTACGTTGGCAATTGTTCGGGCACGTCACTAGATGATTCTTACCTGTGTTATTAAGTAACGTGGCAATCCTACATAATTACGATATTTTAGCCAAGAGCGACCGATTTCAATCAGTGTCCATTTATACATATGACAACAAAAATTATTCTTTTAAATGTTTTGCATTATTCAGATATGATTCAACATGCGATGCAATGCTCTCGACATGTATTCAGTCTGCGCCCATACTAAAGATTTACTTCAATCGATTATGAACAAGCTAAGTAATGTCAGTCTGTCGACGTTTTATTCACCCACCCATATTTTAATGTTTTTCTGCATGAGGATAACTAGAGATGAACGCGCAGGCCCAACAATTACGATTCTTGCATGCTTTCTTTTCTCGTGCCTCCCTTTAACCAACCTCTCCTTTATCGCACACTACTACCACCATCACGGCATTCATCAAAATGACCATCGTCACTGTAATGAAATCAGTCTGATAATAATAGATTTGTGTGGACATGTATGTGTGTATCAATTATATGTTTGCTGTTGTAGATGAGGTAGATTTAGCGCCGAGATAAGAACAGCGGATGATTATAGAACAGCCGTCACTGTCTAGACGATCGAGTCTTCTTACGACAAGACCGTTACGACGCGACGAATCAGATCGAGTAGACAGACGAGGGAGTGATGAACTTGCCCCTATCGTAATCAAGATCTATTTTTTTTGTTTTTTTGTTTTATGAATCATTGCCCTTTTAAACTCCTTCGTTATGTATAGTCTTTCTGTTCCAGCTTCGGAGCGCCCCAAAGAATATACTGGGCACCCGTGCGGATAGTGGTTTGTCTGTGATTGCCGTGTAGTGTTCTCCGCGCTATGTAATCTAACACGCCGTCGTGCTCAAAGCCCCTTAACCCGTTTTACTACTGCCGCTTGCGACTACCGCCAAGAAACAGCGAGTGTCCTTAGCGTTGGCACACCCATCTGCCACGGTACTTGAATTGTACAAAGTGACTTCATGTTTTTTAGTTACAAATAGGACTATACCGTACCTGCGTTAGGTTTTCATTAGTCATGAAAAAGAAATCAGGCGAACAGGACAGACAAAAGCAACCTTCGATGTAAAGCTACATATTTGTATATATAATATAAGATAATAAGTAATGAATGAGTGAGCAAATAGAACGATGACAAATGTAGCATCAACAATATAGTTATTAAAAGCACTCGATGATTTATACATATACATATGTATATATTAATCAATTATTCAGCCAGTTTGCCCTCCTCTAGCTGCACTATTCTTATATAATTTGTTGAAACACACTATATATAAAAGCCCAAGTAGGTAGGTATCAACCGGAGACGTAGACTACTGAGTATGCAAATTATATGTTAATGTTGCATAAAATTTTAATACACGTTTCAAACATTTAGTATTAAACTTCACTAAAATATCCTTATATATATATATATATATATATATTACGCTTACTCACCGATCTTCTGTATTAATATATATATATTCTGTATAATTATGAGCTTGACTATATTGAGTCTATGGCCACTCTCTGTTCTAGTGCGATCATAAAGCTGTGAAGTATAGCTATGTCGTCTGGCCAATAATGGTTCAGACATTAACGATTGATTTGATACTATTACAAGAATACGCGCAAGGCATCATTTGGACCGTATCACTTTCCACTATTGAGCTACCTCACGTATGAGGGTATCATCGCTTGTTACTACCTAGCCATCCTCGTAAGCAAATCAAGCCTCTTTAGGTGCATAGCCCTTCTCCGGCCGCATAGTATGTACGCTGCAAACTACCCAACCAGCCCTATCATAATAATAGTAAAAATTCACTGCTGAACAATGGTCATTTGCGCTTTAGCACTGTCTCAACTTCTTCTTTTTTTTTTTTTTTCTATCTATCATTTGCTTTTTGCCCTCTTTTTACCCCCTCACGTAGAAACAGACTAATATACGAACGTATTTCTCTACGTAGTATTTCTTCACTACAATGCTCAGATTCGAAGGCACCAGTGTATAACCTGCTGCTTTTGTTGGTCCTGGCAACAGCACACCCTGAGCGCACTGTTCAAGCACTCCGACTCGTTTCACCCTAAGCCTTTTCTCAATAGGCCATTTGTTGCGTACCAAACCGAAAGCAGATTGTAGACTGTTAGGGCACTAACATACATAAACAGCGGGCTTAAGTAAATGTTACCAGGGTTGAAGTCGCTTTTGCCTGCGCGTTGCAGCTTTTCATTCTAATGGCTCATCACTGTGTATTTTTCGTATCTATCATGCTTATGGTTAAAGGCAACACTATACAATCACCTATTGCCTGGCCAGAAAGTATCTAAAGCCCAACTAAAAAGCAAACTAAAACCCACATAATCGGGTTGATCGAAGCTTCTTCTTTATTCTTTTGTGCTTTTTTTCGTAATCCCACCAGGCAAAGGAGTCCTAGGCAACGCGTGTCTAACGGCGTATCTAACAGAGTTATCTCCTGTCCCTCTCCTGGCTAACGGACCCCACAATCATTTCTTAGAGCATTGTCTGCTAGATTTTTTCTACTTCGCCTTATGACAAGAATGGCCTACGCAGGCTGGTTCTCCCGTCGGCGCTCAAACACGACTCTTAGAAAAGTACGGGAGAGAGGGCCATAAAGATCCATAGTTCGGAGCATTCATGTGGAGAAAATCATTGCTTGCTCATCGAGAGCAACAGGCCGAGCTACGATCGATATCTATTGGGATATGCCTAGCCTGCTGCACAAATCTCCCATGCGTTACTACACAATGCAGACGCTTAAAGGGACATAAACACAACAACCTTTTTCTCCGATACTTCTCTTGGGCTAACACCTTTAAGAGGCTAAACAGAGAGATTTACTAGTTTGTGAAAACGGTCATCGTTGATACAAACCAATGGGGCAGATCTGGGTAGTAGTACAATAGCTTTGGTCTAGCGAATATCCTTAGCGTTCTTTACCATAATTACCATGATCATACGTCGCTAACAGAGTTTCAACCGGAAATTTCTGATTTACCTTACGCTTCAATTTTCCAAACTACCGCATCGACTGGGCCTAACATTTATATCTCGTACACTGTCGTGCACGTACTTCTTTTTCTTGCCTGTGTGACCTGAGGCTGCACAACGAAGAGTTTACGTTGCATACGATTTCGACCCTTAAAAAAACCTTAATAAATAATTGCTTTTCGTTTCTATGTCTAATATCGCCTTAGTTAAGCATAGCTGTTTTCCTTTACAAACAAAACTGAATCTTAGTCAGGTATTCTCCAGAGAAATCTGCCGCAGAATTATATTCTAATCTGTAAGCAAAGGTATTGTTTTACCGATGTCTATAAACAGGTCCCTAGAGTTTATGGAGAGGCATTTACCTGAGTTGGAATTAACGATGGTAAAGGAATCAACTTTATCCTCTCTCCATCGAAAATAAAACTGAGCAAATAACTAGGATCGAAAAAATCGGATACAAATATATTATGCTTGGTTTGTCTTATTCGCGCACTATCTTGATAGCTCATAACTGGCTCAACCGTTTAGCCTGCCTGCCTACCCAAAGATCATTTCTGCAAATGAAAACACGGATTTATTTTAACTAGCCCTATGTCACATCAGGCTGTTAATATTGGCCCATATCAGTGACGTTGCCAACGACCTATCGGGCAATAAGCTGCCTTGTAAACTATAATCTGTCAGAGAATACCGCTTAGAATCGATGAATCTGTTTTCGAAAGCTGGCCCACACCGTTAGCTATATCTTTAGTTAGACATTTATTTATTGTCTTTTTTTTTACGCTGAAAGAGGCAGGCAAATAGAAGAAAGAATAGTGTTACTTCATACATATATAAGACTCAGTTAAAGGCAGACATTATTCTTATCTCTGTTTAGAATCCCTCGGCGCCATGTCCAATAGAGCTGGAAGCAAGCTGGCATTATGATCAATGAACTTAGGCGTGTGCACATTTTCTCCTTTGGTCAGATACAGTGGGGCGTGAGCGTACATTGTAGCTTTAATGGCAAGAAAAAATAGGTGGGATCTTTCTGTCTAGAACTGTCCACGTTGCAACCGGCACGTTTCCACGCCTTAGGTTTTAGACGGAGATGACACGTTTCATAACGTTTTTTCCTCCATTTATTGGTGAACTGGACCTTGTTCTGTTTGACGGCCTCGTTTCAAAGTTACAGGACACAACGCATTGTTAAGAGCGATTTGGTCTGCAACAGATCGGACGACGCGCCTTCTCCAGGAAGCAGGGCAGGACCACAGTCGCCAGAAACAGTTATGCTGGTGTCTAGAAGAACCTTGTTTGTCCACAGCATGTGACTGACATCGCTAAACTAAGCTGGCACTTTTTCTTACCCAGACAGCTTATATGTGCAATAATTTCCACCAGTTACGTCACAGCAGGCAAAAGTAATTTTATCTCTGGAGATTGGTCCAATTAGGCCGGTACAAATCGTGAGCGACTGCAATGGATCAAAGAGAATCCAAGCTGCCGGTGACCAAAACTGTGATATCCTGTAATACCCCGTTGTCCTGCGTAATGTAACTCATTCATTTTTGTTGGCTTACGAACGAAATTCCTTAGGCCACACAGGTTAAGGGCAGTATAAACTGAAACCCACCCCATATTCCAATAATGGCCCGTCGGTTACAGTTTTGAACGTTTAATTATTAGCGCATTATAAGGTTTTTTTGACATTTTTTCAGGAAAAAGACGGGCGTAGCGACCGCCTCACTGGGACGTTTCATAGAATACTCAAATGCGTACGGTATAGTTTCTTGTGAGACTGCCAGAAGCTCAATCGTATTTTGTAAACGTTCGCTTGCATAGTGAATAGTTAGCTAAGCGTACGATCCACGCCGTTGATTAACTTGTCGGTCAGTAGCATCAAAATCGCCGGAGTTTTAAGTGTTTCCTTTGACCACGGCGTGTTACGGCTAACGTGTTTTTGTTTGGATACCTTGTTCACTAAACAGCTGATTCTCTATAGATGCATTGTTTGGCTAGTTGTGACGCTGTAAGGTCTTGATTAGGGTGCGCCAAAACTTAGCAGTGATATACGAGAAAAAATGAATATTTTTTCCATGGTCTGTCTGCCGATCAGCAGACGATAGACACTGAGCCGTTTCATGTTACGTAAAATGACCTTGTGATATGGTCTACTGCGAGGAGTGTTCTCTTGAAACCACTCAGGCACGAATCAAACACTTACAAATCTGTTCGTATTCGAGCGCCAGCCTGCAGCTAGTGCTATGGAATGATGGCCTTCAAAGTCGGCCTGAATCGCACTTCATCTCACAGAGACATTTTTCTGTCAGAAAACGGAAGACGTGAGCGCTCTTGCGATATACACTCACGTCGAACTGAAGACCGCAAAGTTTAAACATCTTATCAAAACCTATTTCTACATGAAAATCGTATGGCTATAAAAATCGTACCGTCCAAATATAGGTGAACAGATGAATCGTAACGTTGTTGCTATTATCGAATTGTATGCCACTCTAAGGCGTTTTCCTCTATTGATATTTATCTGAAGCAATACACTTCATACTTCGATTATGCGAGTAGGCACTCGTTCTATATATATATATATACATATAGGCTCAGTATCAACCGCTTATAAGCCTGTCACCTATGCATAAATACCAACTTGCTACATATCGACAAGGAAAAAAGGGAACGTGTTGTGATAGGCAGTTTTTCCAAGATACGATCACGACTACGGATGTCGCTAATTATATGCACATATTTACAGAAGCTAGCAATGCTAACTGTAACACGAGATGTCCCAATCAGCTTTTTGTTAGACGTCAATTGACCGTGAAATGACCATATTCACTTACTTACCTCGTCCGTCGTCTGCCTCGCCGTCAGAATCTCCCGCTAATCCACGTGCCGCCTATGGATGCAAATGTAGAATGCTGTTATATTTGTTACAATATTTTGTTATTATTATTGTCGTCGTGACCAGTCCCGATGAACGCTGACTGCTGCTATCTAGCCACGCGCGACGGCAGGCAAACCAAAACCAACCGGATCGCGGCCGCGATCCCCTCATGCAGACGCTGCACAACGTCCTTGGCGCCTGTTCGAATATTTGCGGGCGTCTCTTTGGCGTTCTGCTCGTCGGACTCATCCCCGCCTGTCTAGCTATATATTGTATCAACTTGTTGTTGTTGTTGTTGTTGTCGTTGTTGTTGCCGCCAGCCCTGCTGCAGCAAGGATATCGTAGCACGGCGCGATGGGACACGGCACTTTTGTCTGTTTGACCTGTTTATTGACATAAACAAACAGCGACGCTGTGGTCGACCACTGCTGATGCGGATTTCTGTGTGAGTACAACTATCAGCGACTGCCCTTTTGAACCGTCGCTCCTGCCGTTGGCAAAATGGACCATGACCTATCAAACTGTATCACCTCTGATAAATGATATTACCCCCTCGTCTTCTTCTTTTTTATGCCAAACATTACTGCACACGTAGTACGCTTACTACAACGCGAGGAAGGGACAAGAAATAAAATGACAATGTAGCAATACAATGATACCATTAATTGTTGCTTGAATTTCCGCTGCGATGCTCATCGTATGTGGAATAGTTTTTTTTTTTTTCTATCTGACCACTAGACTACGATAGGCAGCTAACTAGACACCTGTGACAACCGTTACAGCGTCAGATAAGATCTGTTGCACAACTTTTTTCCTCCTGCCTTGTTTTTTTGGCGTCAAACAGGGGACGAAACGGCAATACAGATCACTCACGAACGAATCAACCAGACGCGCCAAATTTACTGTGGCCGTCTAGCCGATCCTTGAGGCGTGCGAGAAACTGATGGAGTTTCCGATTCAGTTAGTACGTTTATCTGTATTTATCATGTAACAGCGAAGCGGATATGCGCTCTTTATACTTTACGCTACTGCCACGTGTTTACGTTTCTGATTGAGTAGGCGCGGTTACCCCATCCACCGCGAGCGACTCTACCGAAATAAATATCGTACAATATCAGAGGGTTCCAATTCAAGAATCTCAAGGACCTTAAGAGGTTTGACAAGTTAGCTATTCGCTCCAAACAGTGTCCGCGGAGACGCCTGTTAGTTTGCGAGTCTATTTAAAGGCCATTGTAGAAAAATTTAGGTTCACTAGCCTATCTTTAATAGCGCACGTATCAGTCACTTTACCAGGCCATTGCTGCTTTAAGTCAGGCTTCATTTATCTTACCAGTGCACTATTTAGAAATACCTTGCGCCATATAGCCGTTATTTTGTTCTTAAGGACAAGCGGTTACCATAGGGCTCTTACAAATGGTTTTCCTTTCGGAAGGAACACTGTAAACAGTTATTCAAGCGTCAACTATTTACAAGAAATTAACGGAAAAACTAGTATCTCCTTTTTCGTTTGGTATATTCTTCTCAAACGAACGAAGCTCATATAGAGGGTGCGTCGTGAACGTAAAGCTGAACTACAAGATATGTGTTTCAGTTTCTTGTTGCAATGAGTAATTTTAAGATATACCCTAATATCAGTCAGCTATCGCTTGCTCATATCGTGTGAATGTTAGAAGAATGACAGGGACGTCTCAGTAAATATCATCGATGATGGAATTATAATTCGGTGAAGCTGTCACGACTTGACGCCCGTCGTGGTACGAATACTAAAGAAATCACTTCCCCTTTCATATTCTCACGATACATTCGAACGGACCCTATAATAGTCTATATTAATTAATAATATATATAGCAGGTTATTCAACACAGGCTTTTATTACCCATGAGAATTGCACTTCCTGAAAGACAGTGACTTATATATAGGGGAAACGGGTCGATCGGTAGTTTTGTCATTCAGACCGACAGTGTGTTACCCGCGCATATTTGAATATCTAGTTTAATGTATTGCTGTGAACAAACAGGCGCACAAACGAATATCTTCCTTCAGTCCAATTGGATATCATCTGTCTGATCTGTCAGTGTATCCAGTTGCGTGTCGAAAGGAAGCAACTTTAGGCCCTTTCTATTCTATCGTCATTCTGTCGTTTTTTTTTTTTTTGTTTTTTTTATTTTCACACAATTTTTGCCGAAACGAATGAGAGCGTAGATACGTCATAGTTCTATTCATCCATCGGATTTCGCTGCTGGTTATAACAATGATGACAATAACAACAACATTGCTGTGCCAACTGGCGGCCCTCTACGTGCAAAAATGAAAGACACCTTTGTGACTGATGCTTTGAAAGTCTGCGTCGTTTTTAGCCTCTTATTGTGAACGAAAACGTAACAAAGAAAAATTATTAGGTAAAACATATAACTTTTAGCTAGCAATGCGGAAATAGTTTGTTGTCAACTTGATTTTAGGTATAAGTAGAGCAGTAACGATTGTTTAAAAGATTAGCCAGTCGAACTCAGCGCTTCTATAGTTATGCGCCTTTTTTTTTATTTGATCGAAAGACGCCTCGTGCAGCGTAAAGTGCGTCTCATTGATCATAGTAAAGATATCGTTGTGGTCACCAGGTGCGCACACTGGGCTGTGTCCACCCGACTTTCAAAAAAAAATCAAAATTTTTTAAACCTAATAAACAGGTATTAATCTGTTTGACAGAATAATATGTGGCTAGCTTTTTATGAGAGGTAAATTTCGTTTGAGGCTGCCATTGCTCGTAATGGTAGTTGTTCTAGGTGGGTCACATGATGGACTTGGTTGGTTATTTGTATCAGAGCGATTTTAAGCTCCCGTATTGGTGATAAGCTAAAACGTAATGACTTTTTCGTTTACGTTCCTCAAGACGGAAACAGCTGCATTTAGCCATTTGGGATGACGTTGAAGATTTACACGTTCACTTGCTGCGGAGATCTGTCCGCTTTGCGTTCGTAATAACTTATTTCGTAATTACGTAATTATCTCAAGTTGTGGTCGCCGGTGGATTCACGCTGTTGCTTTCTGGCGAAAGACTTCTACCACATGAATCAACGACGGTAGTTACAGACATGCAGACACATATCCTGTGAGAGAACCTTGCCCCACGGTGTGTAGTAGAGTAAACATGTCGTACATCCCTTTGTGAAGTGACACCATTTCGATTCAAACAACAAACACTTCCGAGACTGCGGTCGTCATAGTCTAGAGACTATACCGGACAACAGAGCGTAGGCAATACCAGTAACGATGAATCTTTGCAGTAGTAACAGTTTAAAGAATTCTTGCCGCAAGACTTCGTTGATATATGTGTATATAGGGTATGATAGCGAGATATTCATTATTAATTACAAATCGATATAGCTTGTTTTAGCTCAGCTCTACACGAAAGGCAGTTTCTAATGGTCAGTGGCGGACGGGTGATAAGTCAGCAGGCACACTATGTGTGTGACTGCGTAGTAACTCTGCGGTAACACAACAGCGTTTCCTTTTATTCAATGATGTACGAGCTCGGTACAGGCTTGTAAGCCCCTTTATTCTTCCGTCTGAGCCTCTCTGGTGTTCCTCGGCAAATTTTTTGTACACAATAGGGGGCACACTGCTACTATTCCTAATGCTTTCATGACGACAGATATAGATCTATCCGTAGCCGCTCACAAAGGCATTGATGGTGTAGCTCCCGTTCCCACATCGCCCGCTGGATCTTTCAATGGTTACAGACATTCGTCAATTTTGGCGGCCTATTAGCGGAGACCTTCCGCTCGGAGCGAGTGTCCCAGATGACACATACTTCTTTCTCTTGGCATATACTACTATATATATGGCCTCGATATATAAACCTCTTTTGCTGCTATATATAATCATTCATCTCACGGAAAATTTTTGGTTGTTCATAGTTCTACTGTCGGCGTTCAACAACGTTCTTTTGAAGAGTTATGGAGGACGAGGTTAGTTGCGGATCAGTGTTTTAGGCTTCCAAGCTGAAAGTAGAGGACGCGACACAGAAGAAATGAACGCGTTCTCTCTGAGATTACTATAGGTTATGACAGGTCGGGTATTGCTACCCGAAGACTACTATAGAAGGAAGGATTGAGTGCCTACAAATCTTGACATTTGACCACTTTGTTAGCTAGCTTGTTTTAGCTTTATAGTGGTGGTGGTGTGTGTGTGTGTGGGGGGGGGGGGGGGTAGATTGATGATAATTGGATGATTGTAGTCTTATACTGATCAATCGACAAGCAGAAAATCATGCACATAGCGCTTGCAATAGTTTCATTCAGCTAGACCTTTTATATTAGCTAGAAGCAAAATATGGAGATTGTGCGAAAGAGAAACATTCTATGAGCTCCTGGGTCTGCCAATAAATGTATGAATTTGCATATAATGAATATACGGTCAAAAGCGGCAAACAATGACGTTACCATTTGCTGACATGCATGCAAGTTATAGCCTATAATCTCGAAAACAATAGCTAACTTATGCAATGTTAGGTAACTCACTGGTGATCAGAAAATGTAAAATATTGATTGGCACTTTGTGGTATAGTAGTATTGCGCTATCAGATTCTAGCCGGTACTTCAGTTGACTCTAACTCCGTGTACATGGAAGCTCTTCACGTGCTCGTTGTTACTGTCTTAAACCAGCTAGAGTAATCTGGATATGTTGAACCACACATTACTGCTCTTCCTTGCTGCCAATGGAGGAACATCGGGTAGTGGATTGTAACTGTGACCTAAATTCCACCGATTCGATGAGACTTTCGGTGCACCGAAAAAGCATTTGGTGTTTATTTCTTGCTAAAGTCTTCTAGCAACGCTTTCCATTTTTCATCCACTGCGCTCATCTCAAGGCCACCAGAACTTTGAATCCTTTCTGTAGTTACAACCTAGAGATATAGGTCTACACTATCGCCCCAATCAGCATACACTGCTTGGTCTTCTCTATCCAAAGTTGTTCGACCCTGCCCCTTTAAGAGCCCAGTACTAAGGAACTGTCTTGCAACGGCTATGGCGGCACTACTACTTTGCCCTGCTGTCAACTGCAGTCTGAAGTGGTTTCTTTAAAAAACCCTTCTGTGATAAACAAAAAAAAAAATCGTCACAAGCGTTATGTGCAACCATGAACCGCGTCTTTGTTGCCGCAGCAGCTGGCTCTTTCCTTGGCCCCAGGTGATGTACAAGGCCTTGGTCCCTACGTGTACATATTCTCACCTATAGTCTCTTGAAGATATGGATATATCCCTTTCAGTGAGACGCAAATGAAACATGTACGCGTAGGATCTTTAATAATATCAGGATAAAAAGGTACATCTCCGTAGGTTAGATAATTCCTCGAATTGACCAAGTCTTAAAAACTAGAATCCGGCCCTTGGATACTCCCAGGTAAACATTGGCCTTATCATATGGGCTGTCAATCTATTTATGCTTGAACTTGACGGTTGGGTCGACAGCGAAGCGAAGGGAAGGTTAAAGATAACGGATAATATTGACTGATTCGCGCCTCAATTGGCTTACAAATAATTACCTTATCTTTTTACTAATATATGACGCCGTTATTTTCTACAAGCTCTGCATTGGGCTTACACTTGTCAGTTATGATAAAAGACTTGACGTTTTTTAACACGTAGAAATCATATGTACCTATAGATATGTATATGGAAGTTAGGAACGATCATTACGGTAGGCCAAGAGTTTACTTGTGCCATAACTTCACATGAGGGGCGAAAGAGAGAAATTACAAAAACGAAAGATCATTCATATAGAATTCCTCTTATGCTCGTGGGACAGGCTTTCCTACTGATGTACCCTACGAAAAGAGCCAGATACGATTGCTCTTGCATTTATATGACGAATACAGACAGCATTACTATTATTCAAATTGACTTGTATGTAGCGAGACCGAATGAGTCACCGGTGTATGATTGGCCGCCATCAAACGTTTTGTGACCACGTTTTTGCGTGAAATCAATAACTAACGTCTTATGAAAATCATATTATAATCTTTTTGCCCATAGCTACCAACTAACAGCATGCAAATACATCTCCATTCTACAATCATAGTTATTGGAAAATTGCTGTTTGTGCAGAGGTGGAAGCGATGCGATAGGTGATAAGGAAGTCTTTGGGGGCAATTTGTCATAAAGGTCAATATGGAAGGAAATAGTAGCATGTAGACCAAGATGCCCTGCTAATATCCAAACTGTAAAGAAAGAGGGATTTAATACGAGGCGTTTTAGGCATCCTAAAAGTCTCTCAAAACGGCTAGAGTCGATTGTAGGTTTATTCTTAGTTTAGCCGTGGGACGATAGGTTGATATGAAAACAATTGACGACGATAATAATGAAGCTAAGTGCTTTCTGATGCTGTTCCTGTCGTCGATTCCTATGGCCTAGAAACCATCTATTTTTTGCTTTTACCTAAAACCTTCGAATAGTTAGACCCTTTAAGTACGAACAAAGGACTCTCGCGTGCTTCATCGAGCAATCTATGCTAGACAACTTAAAGTACAAAAGCCGCCTTTATTTAATTGGCCCTTATAAGTGTCCTTAAAGTACACGTAAACTCTGCAAACCTACTTCGAAACATATATATATATATATATATATACATATAGCTCTGTTCTGTGTTTTGTCTTTTAGTAAGTTAAACGAGAATGACGAGCTATTAGAAATTATGCCTTAAGGGTTTGCTGCACCATTAATTTTCTACTATTTCGTGATAAATTACGATAAACATTTCTGAGGTTAAAATTCTCTAATCGTGACACCGGACTGTTCTTACGCGCTACTATACCACGACCTGATTAAATGCTTAAACAAGTATCCGTAT